AACTCATGAGAAGGAAAATGTTTTCCTCTTTTGAAACTGAAAAAACATCTTCGAAAAAATACTCTATCATTTTTCGTTGACTGAAAATCATTTTCCGTTGATGTTTTTTCTTAATACAAAACAAACAATGAAAACAAAAAATTGTTTTCCTTCAAACAAATACAGCCTTATTCTCCCCTACAAATAAAAAAATTAAAAAATTTCAGGCCAAAAAAGAAATCTAAATTGATAGACTAGAACTTCCTTCCAGAGTAGGAATGATTGCAGCATCTAAATTTTCCTGTGACTTTCTTGGGACAAGTTACAGTCAGTGTGTGGCAAGATTTGTAGTTCAATTAGAGGTAGGAGAAGGGCTAAGGCAAAGAGAGAGAAGGGCTACCCCTACTATTCATTTGTCGAAGATTGAAAGGATCTCATTTATCAAAGAAAAAAATTTCAGCAGGATGATATCCAACTATTCATGAAATTTGGAGAAATAACTTGCAATATTAGTGGTATTTTGTTTTTATTTTGCCTACACCATTTAGACACAAAAACTTTGTTTGAGAATTCTGTGCCATTAAATGATTTATAGGAGCAAAGCAAGTCCTATAAAATCCTTTTGGGGTGTGAAATTTGTAGGACAAAAGGTGAAGAAATGTTGTGAGCAGTTAATGTCTTTAGAATAATAATGCGAGAAAAGGAGCTTAACAGATGGATGGTAAAACAGGGATCAAAAGATTTTAATCATGGGATAGGTCTCTTGAAAGAAAGACTCAATTCCATGTTTGATGTGAAATTTATAAACGAATAAAAAAAATCCCTATATTAAGTATCGACTTGTTTACGTTTCTTTGTCAAAAAATGGTTAAAAAATTGAAACTCTCTAACTCTTAGAATCTTGCACTGACTCTTTCAAGTGACAATGTCCCCTCATGTACTTGTGCTCACAAATAAGCCTTCACACCTAGAGTGTCGTTTGTGGATGATTTCTATAAGTTACAATTTGGAAGAGGAAAATACAAGATATGATGTTAGTTCATTGTTAGACAAAAAGATATGGAGATAACTTGATTGGAAAAAACAAGAAAAGCATACAAGTTGAGAAAGGCAAACCAAGTCTATGAGGTAATCATTTGCTCCCACAAGGAGGTGGTGAACACCTTTCTAACTGCTCACTGGTGTTGTGGAGGAGAGGCTGAGCATCTATCCCTAGTTTAGATAATGGTATGCAATCACAGTTTTAAAAAACAACTTGTTATGCAGAATTGTTGTAGTGGTTATACTTGTTGAAAGGAAAAATAAATTTTTGAGACAAGAAAATTTCTATAAAAAAACAAAAAAATTGGTGCTACAGGTATGGAAGAGAAAGACTAGTATAAGTATTTAAATATAGAAATATAATTATAGGAGTATTATAGTAAATATACAATAATACATTTCTTAACCCTCTCAAAAAGCTACAAATAAGCCCCAAAACACCCAAAAAATAGCTTCAAAACAGACCCAAAACTTACCCAAAGCCGCCAAACTTGGCCCCGAAACTATTACCAATAACCCCTCAAAACTCTTACAGAGCAACCCCTTCAGATAGGTCATTTTAGCCACCAAAGCAGCTCCAAAAACAACCCCAAACCAGCTTCAAAACTACCCAAAAAACCCCAAAAAACCCTCCAAAAATAGGCCTAAAACCAACCCCAAAACAGACCCAACACCTACCCAAAGCCCCCAAACTCAGCCCTGAAACTGTTACCAACATCCCCCGAAAACCGTTATAGAGCAACCCCTTTGGAAAGGCCACTTGAACCACCAAAGAAGCTCCACAAACACCCCCAAACCAGCTTCAAAACCACCCAAAAAAACCCCAAAAACCATAAAAAATGAGGCATAAAACCAACCCCCAAAACAGACCCAACACCTACCGAAAAGCCCACAAACTCAGCCCTGAAACTGTTACCAACAGCCCCCAAAAACCACTACAGAGCAACCCCTTTGGAAAGGCCATTTGAACCACCAAAGAAGCTCCACAAACACCCCTTAACCAGCTTCAAAACCACCTAAGAAAACCCCATAACCCATAAAAAATGATGCCTAAAACCAACCCCCAAAACAGACCCAACACCTACTGAAATGCCCACAAACTCAGCCCTGAAACTGTTACCAACAGCCCTCAAAAACTGTTACAGAGCAACCCCTTTGGGAAGGCCATTTGAACCACCAAAGAAGCTCCAAAAACACCCCCAAACCAGCTTCAAAACCACCCAAAAAAACCCCAAAACCCATAAAAAAATGAGGCCTAAAACCAACCCCCAAAACAGACCCAACACCTACGGAAACGCCCACAAACTCAGCCCTGAAACTGTTACCAACAGCCCCCAAAAACGGCTACAGAGCAACCCCTTTGGAAAGGCCATTTGAACCACCAAAGAAGCTGCACAAACACCCCCATACCAGATTCAAAACCACCAAAAAAACCCCTCAAAAAAACCCACCAAAATAGACACAAAATATCCCTCAAGACAGCCCCTCGAACACTTTTTGGAGTTAATGCAAAAGAAAAGAAGAAATAAAAATTAATTGTGATTTGTCTCATTTTTTGTGATTCAATTAACTTTCGATGATTGTTCGCAATGTTACAATATATTCTTTTTTTTAATTGCTTAATAGTAATTGTTTATTCTAAACAAAAAAAGCGAGAGAAATGATGGATAAAAACAACTAACTTATTATATGCATAGATAATAATACATGTTATACATATTTAAATTAATTTTATGTTGATAATTAATATAAATTGGCTATTGGATCAATTAATTAATAAACGAGTTATCGGTTATGCTATAGAGACGATTCATTATCTATCTTATCATTTCGGATATATGCTACATGCTAGATTTTTTTTATCATCATTTGTGTTATTTTCATGACAAAAATATTCATACAAATTTATTATAAGTATTTAAATATATAAATATAATCACAAGGGTATTATAGTAAATATACAATCATATATTTTCTTTCCTTCCTCTTCCAAACAAAGAAAATGTATTTTCTTTCTTTTTCTACTCTTATCCAAACAACAAATGGAAAATGATTTTCTTTCCTCCCTCTTTTCTTTTCTCTCACTTTCTTTCCTCCCAAGAGGAATTATCCAAACATAGGGTAAATTTTCCTGTGACTTTCTTGGGACAAGTTACAGTCAGTGTCTTTTTATTTTCTACGACAGATATTTCCAATCACTTTCTTAATTTGGTCAACAATCCTCTGTCGAGACCAAGATATTGGGTAGAAGATGCCAACGTTACAAACTACTCAAAAACTGTATGTATAAAACATCATAAATTTCAAAGTAAAAATATATCTTTTTTGCAAGGAGGCGGGAGAAGAAGAGGATGAGGATGCCATGAGATAGCCGTCAGAGATTCTACTATTTTAATTCTTGGAGTGTGGCAAAGAATGATCTGAATAGACCCATGAAGTTTCCTGCAACTTTCTCTGTTTTTTACCCCAAAATTTTGCAATCAGTTTCTGTTAGTCAAAAGTCTTCACTCGACAAAAAGACGTTGTCAATGTCCCAACTAAATTGCTTTTTCAAGCTTTACTACGCGATGGTTCGATGTTTGGTAACGGGTAGGTTATAAATTATTCTGAAATTCAAGGGAACAGGAATAAAAGTATTTTTTTAAAAAAAATTGTAATTAAATCTTTTAAATTTGTTAACCAATCTTAAATGATTTTAGACACATATAAAAAGACATGTGTCATAATTTTATTCGTTTAAGTACTTCTCATTGGCATCCAATTTCAATCTCATGATAATAATTTACTGATGAGAAGAATATCTCGTTGGCGATGACGACGATGAAGAGGTCAAGTAACATGCTTTTGTAAGAGAAATGGACAGAGAACGAGCCATCAAAGGTTTTTTTTTTTTACTTTCTTTCTTGGGTTTTCGGGAGGAGGAAGGAAGACACAGAAAATACTGGGAAATCGTCTGCAAGAATTTGGTTATGGATAAAGTAAAAGACAGAGAGGGAGAGGTGGTCATATATGGAAGGAGCTGGAGAGTGGTTTGTCGGTATTTTCTCTGATAGTGACACGTTTTCAGACTACCAAACTTCATTTTGATCCTTAAGCTTCTTCAGTATGTCATTTATTTCCTTGTATTTTGAAATTTTTCAATGACCCTTTTAGTTAGTTTCAAAAAAGTTCAAATGTTTTTATTTATTATCAAAATATGGTTCTTGGTCTTTTACTTATTAAAAAAGCACAGATTCGCCCTTCTTCTTTGTCAAAATTGGACAGATTGTTAATAATAATAATAATAATAATAATAATAATAAATTTGGACTGATTATTATTAATGTTTTTAAATTGAGCGTCAATCAGAAATCAAAATAAAAAAATCCATCATGCTGATCAATTAATTAATAATTTTGATTTATCTTCGAATCCATAAAATAATTCTTTAATTTGAAAGAGATTGTCTGTGTAACTTTTTTTTTTTTTTTTTCCCTTTGAGAACAAAGAGATGTTGTAAATTTGAAACTAAAATGATAATGTATAGTTTATGTTTTTATAAGAGTCAAAATATTTTTAGGTTAATATTCTCTCATTGACACTATTTTTTTATATCAGATTTTAAGAAAATTATTCATATTTAAGGAGTGCATATTCCAAATACCAAATACAGAAAAATAACTAATTAAGATACAAAAACTCAAGCCATTCTTTTTTAAAAAGACAAAAGAAAAAGAAAAAAAAGATGACATTCCATGGGTAACGTTACCTTTGAAGCTAAGATTAACGATGCAAAAAATAAAGAGATTCATCCATCTTGTTGAAAACATAATATAAATCTCATCAGCAAAGCCTTGATCATTGATGTTTCAATCTTTCAGGGTTTTGGTTCTTCTTCCTTCTCTTCGGAGCTGTCACTTCTGCCGAGTTCCACATCACCTTCGCAGTCATCCTGACATCTCTTATTCTTGCTAGCTTCTTCTTCTTCTTCTTCATCCTCATCAGTCAGTACTTGTTGTCACTTCCTCTTCAGCGTATAGTAACAGGACTCCACACTTCTTCACCTTACAACACTCAATGTTGCAATAACAACGAGGCAGGGTAGCACGGAATTCAAGTGTGGCCTCGTTGTACCAATGTTCTCCGAGATCGAGCCCGATTTTAGTGCACCAATCAAAATCAAAAAATTTACCCTCATACCATAGTAGCACGTGCTCGGACCGAACAGATCTGCATTCCTCCAAATCTCCCATGGGAATATAAAATGACGAGAACATACGGGGTAGCGAGCTTCGGCCAGAATCATTTTTGGTATGAAACTGAGCTTCAAACTGACAAGAGAACCCACTCCCACAATGAGAATTCTGGAACTCAACAACATTGCATGAAGCAAATCCCAAGAACCTACCATTTTGTCCACATGGTGGCAGATGGACTGTTATTGAAGATCCTACACTTTGAAATGGGAACCACTCTGGTATTTCACTTCCAGCATAGCAAATTCTAACAGAAGGTCTTTCAAGATTAAGCTGTAACAACCAAAAAGAAATAATTGTTAATGGACCGAAAACGAGAAAGATATGGAGAAATAAGAAAGGCTGGGGGGGGGGGGGGGTGGTGGGGTTTGAGAGAGAGAGAGAGAGAGACCTCATTATAACACTCCGCTCCCATGCTGAAAATCCTAAGTTTTTGCTGAGCATGTGACACGATATCATTCAGTGCATTTTGATCCAATTTCAAGCAATTAGTGAACATGAAATTTGAATTTGAGAAAAAATTCTTGAATTCCACCGGGCAGAGTTCTGTAAGACTTGATATTGTTTCCAACGATATGCAGTCAAATGCTTTTATAACTTTTAGATGTGGAGGAAGCTCTGGCAATGATTTAAGCCTCTCACATTGACTGATGTCAAGAAATGTCAATTCCAAAAGTTGGTTGATGGCAGTAGGCATTCTCTCAAATTTGTTGCAACTCAGATCTAGAGAGCGTAAAGAGGACAAAGAGGTTAAGTCAGCAGGAATTAGCAACCGATCACATCGACCTGCTTTGAGCTCCCCTAAATGTTTCAAATTCTTAAGATTTCTTGGAAGCTTTTCAAGTTTTGAGCAGCCGGATAGATGAAGGTCGTAAAGTTCTGTCAAGTTCCACAAGCTTTCTGGAAGACCAGCAAGATTTTTGCATACATTCAGATGTAATGAAGAAAGCCTCTTTAGATGCTCGATTGACGACGGTAGCACTTCAATGGCTGTTCCATCCAACACAAGTTCCCATAGATCATCCATGTTTTCGAATATCTCAGGGAATTTCTTTAATTTCGAGCAGCCAGATAGATTAATAATTCCAAGAGATTTTAACTTGCAAATGCTGCTTGGAAGACTCTCAAGCTTGGTGCAATTTGTGACATGCAATTCACAAAGTCTGTCAAGGCACCCTACCGACAAGGGCACTTCTTTTATTGCTGCTCTATCTAGATTTATGTGTCTTATGCTCCTTGAAAACTCAGGAAACCTCGCAAGTTTTGAGCAGCCAGCAAGAACAACTGTATCAAGAAATTCCAAATCAACAGTACTTGGAAAGCTCCTGATATTTTTGCAATCCATCAGATTTATGGAAGTAAGCTTGCTGAAACGGCTTATAGATGGAGGGACCTTCTTTGGCAAACTGGTACAGCCTGTAAGAATTATACCAACAAGATTCGGGGCCTGCGATGGGCATGGAAATTCCATAAGATGCTGGGAATGACTCAGGTCTATCTTCTTCAACTTTCCAAGATCCTGTAATGAAAGAGAAATGTTAATAAACCAGAGCTCTTGAACCTCATGATTTGTTCAAAGAAAAAACTTTAATAATGATTTGATATGGCAAAATACTCGTACAGAAAACGAAGAACTGAATATATTATAAAATTGTACCATGGATGTTTTCCAAAGTCGTTTAAGATTGCTATAAGGCAATATGAGCTCAACAAGGTTCATCGGGTGGAAATTGACTGGAAAAGATTTCAATGGGTATCCATGCCAATATAGATATCGGAGCTCATTAGGAAGAGATTTGAGCCCTTCAGAAAGCTGCAACTTATTATGATTATCTTCTTCAAAGATTCCACAATTAGGCATATAGAATTTGAGGAATTTAAGATTAGACATCCTGGCAAAAGCATTCGGATTTAGGTGTGCCTCTGTTATTTTAGACATGTCCAGGAATATGCCTTCAATTGCTTCAGTTCCCTAGCAATTAAACAAGGAATAGAGTATTCGAAGGTTAGAAAATACCTAAAGTTGAACTGAGATATTATTTTTTTATCCTGACACACATTAAAGCTGCAATGGAAAAATGAAATTGCATTAGGATTATACCGTATTTTTCACAAGTACTTGATAGATATCCTCATGATTCCACAACCTGCTGCGTTTGCCAGGCTCTCTTGATTCTTGACGAACAATTGCCCTGCCCATTTCTTGCAATAAATCATGCATTTCTAGCTTATTGTCTCTAACAGTTATGAGGGCCTTATCAATGAGAACAGCAACTACGATATCCGTCGAGAAGCCACAACTATCCAGTAACTGTTTCACACTCTCGCTATCCTCACCTTTAAAGAAACATGCAATATGTAGAAAGATATCCTTCTCTTCCATATCCAGATCTTCACAACTAATTTTCAGCACATTTTGGATATTTTTGTTGGAAGTTTTGTCCAGTTTATCCAATGCACTTTGCCATTCGCTTATGCCCTTTTGAAGTAAAAATGAACCCAAAACTTTGAGAGCCAAAGGATTACCTTCAGCATATGTTACAAACCTATTTGACAGGCCCTCGTACTGTCCTGCAGGATGTTTTCGCTTAAAAGCATTCTGGCTAAACAGTTGAATAGCTTCAGAGAAATTTAAGTTCTCAACTTCATATGTAGTATCTACAATTTGTCTGAGCACTTGCTTATCTCTGCTTGTAATGATGATTCTGCTTCCTGAACCCAATCGATGGCGATTTCCAACCAAAGTTTCTAACTGCATAAAACTATTCACATCATCAAGAACAAGTAAAACCTTTTTCTGACGGACAATAGCTTCAACAGAAGTTAGTGGATACATTCTTAGATCTCTTTCCTCCAATATTTTAGTAAGAAGCTCCTCCCTCAAACGAGTTAATCCACCAGCTCTTTCAGATTCTTCCCTAACGTTTTCAACAAAGCAGCAACCTTCAAATCCGCACGCAAGTTGGTTAAAAACAGCTCTAGCAAGAGATGTCTTGCCTATACCGCCCATGCCCCAAATTCCTAAAATGCGAACATCTAACCCTCCAATAGATAACAACCCTTTAACTTGATCAATGCGTGAATCTAGTCCAACCTGTTCCTCTAAACCACTTGCTGATGCTTCTTTCAATTTGCTCAAAATGTCTTTGACAATATCATCAACAAGTCTGGACTCCGGTCTGTCAAATGTGAAAGTATAAGAATTTCACAGCTTTTTACATTTTCAATTTCCAACATATCATACGCAAATTGTAGATTTCAACAAATATCCCTAAATTTTCAAGCATTAATTACAGGGTTTCACAGGGACAAGCATATGACTTCAAATAATAGTTTCCAGCAAAGTAAAATGTTCCAAATTGAATGAAATGGGAAAGGAAATTAAGATTAAGGAAGAAAATTAATTACCTAACAACCTGTGAATCCCACCCTGCTAAATTGGCTGCTTTTGTCATGGCAGCCTTCCACCTCAGTGACTTTTCCTTGAAACTTATCTCATGTTCAGCAAAAGCTTCCTCAAAAACCCCCGTCTGCTCCAACACATCTGATGGATTGACATGGTAGAATACTGGGATGACTCTTTGCCCATGGAGTTCATGGCATTGGACGATCTTAACAAGCTCATCTAAGCACCATGGGGAGGATGCATAGTTCTTAGAGAAAATGATAACTGCAGCCTTTGAATTCTCAATTGCTTCCAAAAGGGCTGGACTGATCTCCTCCCCTCTTCTAAGTTCCTTATCTATGAAAGTCTCAATGGCTTTTCGACACAAAGCAGCATAGAGATGACTTGTAAAGTTTTGACGAGTGTCTTCACCTCTGAAACTCAAGAAAACATCATACCTGCATTGCCAAGAGGCGGGAGAAGAAGAGGAAGAGGATGCCATGAGAAAGTTGTCAGAGATTCTACTATTTTAATTCTTGGAGTGTGGCAAAGAATGATCTGAATAGACCTGAGAGCGTAGAAATAACAGCCCCTGAAGTTTCCTGTGGCTTTCTTGGTACAATCTATTTTCTAACACAAATTTTCCAATCAGTTTCCTTTGGTCAAAAGTCCTCTCTCCAGAAAAAAGATGCTATCAAGGTCCCAACTAAATTGCTTTTGTAAGCTTTACCACGCATTGGTCTAAGTTAATTAGTCATGGGCGGATTATAAAGTACTCTCAATTTTTTATCAACAGGAAAAAAAAGTTTTGAATCTACAATTCATAAAGGCTCAACCGATGTTAGACACACACAATACAAAAAAAAAAAAAAAAAAGTGTCATTTTAATGATTCACTCTCTAACCAATTTTATACAATATTAAGTAAGAAGACGTGTGGTTTTAATGATTCACATGTTTTTCCTACGTGTTTCGTATGTGATTAACAAAACGGAAAGACTTAACTGAAGGAAAGATAAATAAATAAAAAGAAAGATTAATACATCGTGAATTTCTTAGAAAAATATTAACTTGATGTTTGATAATGGATAGCCATGAGACCAGTGATTTATCGTGCAATAAGAGTTTATGATCAGAAGATTTTGCAGGGCAAAAAACGATCTAAATGGACTTGAGACATCCTTCCTAGGTAGGAATAATTGCAGCCCCTGAAGTTTTCTGTGACTTTCATGGGACAATCTACTACAGTCAGTGCCTTTCTATTTTCTACCACAATTTTTTTCAATTACTTTCTTAATTTGATCAACAATTCTCAGGTATCGTGTAAAAAGTCCCAACCACATTCACAGTATGCATAAAACACCATAAATTTATTGGAAAAAACATATCTTGATGTTTGATAATGAAAGAAGACTTCTCTAATGCATTGAGTCTTGACTCTGTGCTGGCTAGCTGTTAAATTAACTATATATATAAGAACCCAGCTGTTGCTTTTTAAAAAGCTGATCAAACCACAAAGAAATCAAATCCATCCATCGATCAAAGAATGGAATACAAACATCAATCTAATGACTAATTTCATAAGTAAATGTAATGAAAGAGGATTTGTATTTATACAGGCAGCAAAGGTTGTTGTAATAACTAATGATCCAAGGCAGATGGATCAAAGCTCATCTTGAGGTTTTGTCTCTCTCTCGTGACCAGATAGGCTTTTCTTCACCTTCTCCTTCGTCTTTTGCAAAGTTTCACTAGCTATTTTTGCAGCTGATCTTGCTGAATCCTCCACTGTTGCTTTGCCCTTCTCCACACTCTTTGCAACAGCTTCTTTCATCTTCTCTCCAGTTCCAGTAGCATCTCCATGCCCCAAAGCCTCGTCCCTCCCTCTAAAACTAAAAATCCCAACAAAAAAAAAAAATATATTGAGCAAACGAAAATGGGTTGTGACAACTTAAGAAATTAATTAACTTACTCTAGATTTGGAGGAAAGATAGAGGCTTGAGCTTGATTGAACACAGTTCTGACTTTGTCCCAAAAACTTGTGCCTGTACCAGCATTAGTTGTTGCTGGAGGATTTGCTGAGGATGAAAACAAGCTTCCGATTATCTTAGAAAAAATATTTGATCTCTGTGCATTCTCCAAGTCCACCGGGGCCTGTTGGCCATGAGCAATCTCAGATATCAGCAAGAACAAAAATAGAACCAAGATAGTGCATCTCCTAAGCCTATCCATGACATCGAAATCTGAATCAGCAGGGCTTGGTACTTCAGACTAAGAAGCATGAGCGGCCATGACTCTATAGTGCTGTCTTCGGCATCGAGAGCTGTGACACGTTTGAGGATTGTTGCTTATGATGTGGCTTCCCGTAAGAACGTGCAGGTGGCGGTGGGGAGTGGTGACTAAAGAGCCAGAACAAAAAGGCTTAAAGGTTTGATCCAAAAAGTATGAATTCCTTTTAGACAGTCCATCAAAACAAGTAGCTGGCATGGGCTCTAATTAGTGGGCTTAAAGTTCTTGGCTAATCTACCAGCACTGGGAACATAAACATCTTGCTTTTCCTCCAAAAGAATTTCTTTGTTTTCTTGAGTAAATTATAAATTAATCCCTTTCGTTTTGAGACATTAATTAATATTGATCGTGATTGATTTAATTTTTATATTTTATAAAATTTCTTATTTTCTCATAAATCTTTCGATATTTTTACTCGTTGTTTTATTTATTTTCTATGTCTTAAAACAAAATATTAAAATAAATTAAAAAATATTAAAAAGGCTAAATAATTATTTTTTTGAAAATCACAATGACTAATTAATTCATTTCTTGGGACTAACTTATAATTTACTCCAGTTTTTTTTCGTGAATATATACCATAACAAGTTAAAACTTCTTGACAAATAAAAATTTCATTTGTGTGTTGTGCGAGTAAATTATAAATTAGTCTCTTTAGTTTTTCAAAAGAAATCAAATGTATTTTTAAATCTATTCATAACGTTTTTTTTTCTTTGTTCCTTTTCAACTATTTTGATTTTTTGTTCTAAGAAATAAAAAACGTAAAAAATTTTAAAAAATAAAAAATATATAATTTTTGAAATAAAATATTATTAAATTAATGATGTTTAGTATTGATGAAATGATTAATTAATGAATTTTTTAAAAAAGAAGAACTATTTAATTCTATTGCGCATATAGTTAGTGTGTTTTTCACAATGGTTAATGTTGTTGCATATATTGTGTTGGTTTTGTCCATGACACGGTGTGGTAGGTCCACCGTCCAACGTTGTTCTCACTCATAATATAGTTTTTCAACACAAAAATCATGGCATTTCCTTTCCACATCACAACAATAATAGAAAGAAAAAGAAAAAAATAATACAAAGCAATGCTAATTCTAAAGTAAAAGGAGTAATTTTAACCTTAATTAAAAAAAAATTGAATGCATGAGAGCTTTCAAAAAAACATGAAAAAGAATCAAATAAGATTAATATTATTCATAGAGTTAATGGCTTAATTTTCTTTACATAAATTATTAAAATATATATTAATTCTTCAATTTATTTTTATATTTTTAACTGAATTAATTTTATCTTTAAATATTTATTAAGTGTTTAATCTTTTTTATAACCAAAATTATTCACATAATTTTGAGAAAAAAATCTTCTGTTTAATGGAGTTGTAAGGTATTTTAAGAATAAAAATTAATAATATGCAAATTTCGTAATAGTTTTAATTGTTTAATTTGAAAACCTTAATAAAAAAATAAATTAAAAATTTAACATCTATTTAAAAATAAAATATACATAATTAAGGATATAAAAACAGGTTAAATAATTATCCTATATACATGATAGATTGTGATATTAATTTTTATTCATAATAAAATTTTATTAACATAATTAAAAGTCACATGAAATTAATAAAATTTTTATTACCATAACTAGGGGCAGTCATGGCATTTCATAGCTGTACGAGGAACCCGAGAGAGCGAGAGAGAGAGAGAGACTTAACAAAGAAGAGAAAGAAAATATAGCAGAAGTAAACTAAACAATAGAGACGGAGAGAGATGGTGAGAGGTTTGTATTCAGCTACTAATTATATTAATAATTAATAATTAATAATAAAAGATTCATTTGTACTCCATTTCTCTCTCTTAATTTGGTGGGTTTTTTTCCTTATTATTTTTTTCTTCCTTTGCAGGTAGAGACAACCCACCAGTTGTTGCTGCTCCTTGAAGAGAGAGAGAAAGAAAGCAGAGATTTTTAGAGAGACGGCGACTTCTACCGAGATGGGATCTGACAATCGGTGCTGCTTATACAGCTGCTGCTACTACTTCTACTATTAACTAAAACAAATCCTCCACATTCCCATTTCTCGTCTCAGGTATTTATCATGAAAACTGATGTCCTTTCTACCATTTTTCCATGAACTTATTATTTGTTTTTTATTACTGCATCTGTCCCTATTGAACTCTTAAGTTTGATGTTTCGCTTTATAAATTTTAGATCTACTGTATTTTTCTTTTGTTGATTCATTGACAATATTGAAATGGGTTGTGTGTGTGTATGTGTTTTTTTTTTTTTTTATTTGGGATAAAATGTTGCTATTATATTTGCTTGGACAACTTTAGATTTGGATCATGGAAAGATTAATAATTTTGGAGCGTTTTGATGTGCTTTATGTAATGAATATCAGATTCAATTGTTATCAAGGATTGAAGTTATTTTCTTTTTCATGTTTTGACCACCCAATATGCAAATGGATTGTTTAAGTGTTACTGTTCCATCATGTTTATGAATTTAATGAATTTTTGTTTAGAAGTTATTAAATTTCTACAATGTGGGTTGATGTAGGAAAATGTTATGAATTGTTTGGAATTACAGATAGAGTATCATGGCTTATCACCGGATAATTATTCTAGATATCATTATAGCTACATTTTTCAGCAAAACAAAAAAAAAAAAGAAGTTTTGAATTGTTAATTTTTATGAGGGACCCCAGTGATGATTGTGGGAAAAAAAAAAAAGAAAAGAAGAAGAAGATGGTTTCATTCTATACTCATCAAACCAAAAAAAAAAAAAAAACTGTAAAGGAGAGTAGTGCATTTTAAGTTTCTTATTATTTGTAACCTCTTATAAGAATTGTTGATGAACTTTAACAGTAGTGTGTTTGTTGGAGAATGATATAGAATTGTTGATGAACTTTAACAGTAGTGTGTTTGTTGGAGAATGATATAGAATTGATGAACTTAGCAGTTAATAATGAACCTTTTGATTAATAAATGACTGAAGGTAGTATCTGGGTGCCTTTTATATATTCCCAAATTTTATTTTGCATCTTTTCTTATTGCTACATTGTAGTGGGAATGCACTACGTAGATTCATACCTAGCATGAATGTGCAAGGTTTAAAATTTTCTTGTTTTTGTTTTCTTTATTTCATTGATCAGTGGAAATATCAAAATAAAATTCTTCCTTCATGTGTGGTTATGATGACTAATTTCAATGGTTGAGAAAGGAGTGACAGCTTCGTTCTTTCTTTGCTTCTTTTTCTAATTTCAGCAGGACTTTGAGAATCTTATCAACAATTTAGTTCATTGTGTGGTTTATTGGGTTTTATTGAAGAAGCTTGATGGGTTCCAGATACCCATCTCATCGACTTGGCAATGGCCTTTTTGTATCTGGTCGACCAGAGCAGCCAAAAGAAAAGGCTCCAACAATGAGCTCAACTGCCATGCCTTATACAGGTGGTGATATTAAGAAATCAGGAGAGCTGGGGAAAATGTTTATCCCTACAGAAGGTTCCAAGTCTAGGAAATCTGGACCTATAACCGGTCCTCCTTCAAGGACTGGATCTTTTTCAGGGGCTGCTACACATTCAGGGTCAGTGATGTCAAATGCTGCTCCGCGTGCTGGCTATACCACATCAGGTCCTTTATCCTCTGGAGGCTTGCCTGGTTCAGCATCACTAAAGAAATCGAGTTCCGGACCACTAAATAAACATGGGGAACCCATAAAGAAGTCCTCTGGCCCTCAATCTGGTGGAGTAACGCGGCAAAATTCTGGATCTATTCCATCAGCCCTGCCAGCGACTGGTCTCATAACATCCGGACCTATTTCTTCAGGACCACTAAATTCTTCTGGTGCTCCTCGGAAAGTGTCTGGTCCATTGGAATCCACTGGTTCATTGAAATTACACAGCTCTGCCATTATTAACAACCCAGCTGTGACAACTTTAAATCAGGATGATGACTACTCTGTCAGGAGGAACTTCCCCAAAACAGTTGTATGGTTGGTTATACTGATTTTCGTGATGGGATTCCTTGCTGGTGGTTTTATTCTTGGAGCTGTTCACAACGCCATCCTCCTCATTGTCGTTGTGGTTCTTTTTGTCATAGTTGCTGCATTAGTTTTTTGGAATATGTGTTGGGGAAGAAGATATATCGCTGAGTTCACTGCTCGCTATCCTGATACTGATCTCAGAACTGCAAAAAGTGGGCAATATGTGAAAGTTTCTGGGGTATGTAATAGATGCTTTCATTTTCTCTTCTTCTTTTTTTTTTTTTTTTTTTTTTTTTTTTAATGTGCCTGTTTGATGTCTATGTGCTACTTTTACATTCAGTGTAGATTGATACCTCCATTCTTGTTGGTTGCCACTAATTTTCCTGTCTTTTTTTCTCTCTTCTTCTCTACACCTGAATCCAATGATGCTTTAATGTCTGTGCATTATGCTTTCTAATATTTGTGTCTTAAAGGCATTTATGGTATGCAGAACCAATCATATTTGAATTTTTTTTTCTTATGTATAATTACTTGACGTTAATCAGAATGTTTACTGTCTTGTAATTGCTGAAGGTGGTTACCTGTGGTAATGTCCCTCTGGAGTCTTCATTTCAAAGAGTTCCCAGATGTGTCTATACATCTACAAGATTGTACGAGTACCGTGCATGGGGTTCAAAACGTGCCAACTCTAATCATCGCTACTTTACATGGGGATTGAGATCATCAGAGGTAAGAAGATGGCTTTGTATTTTTAATGGCCCTTGCTGCAGTTTTTCTTCACCAACCCCCCCCCACCCCCCGCGCGAACTTTTGTCTCTCTCTCTTGAACATTTAGTTTTGAAGAGAGACTATCAACAAATTCACACAAACACTAGCACCCTGCAAGCTGGCTATACTATTCTTATCCAGATATGTAGACACATGCCTTTTTGAGACTGTTATTCTTCTCTCACTAACCAACCCCAGTTCCAGTGGAGAACCCAGCAGCAATAATAGAGATCGTAGATAAAAAACTTCAAACTGAAACCACTCCAGAAAAAGTAGTTAAAACCAGTAGTTATTTGAAACATTAACAGCTCTCGAAGACCCTAATTCTCAAACTCGCAATTATTCCCTAGCGTAGGTTACGTTAAGTAAATAGGAATAATGAGAAATTTAATATTCTATTCTCAACTGGACTAATGAAAATCCTTGTTAGGATCTCTTATGCTTGGAAAGAATATAGAAGACGATCCTTGCCCTTATTTAAATTTCTGCTGCATTATCTTCCCTTTCCTAGTCCTTACTAATTTTCGAAATTTGCAATGATGCATGGATGTTTCCATTCAAAGCAAGTGATCTTGCCTTAAAATCTCATTGTTTTAACAGGATATATTTTTCGTATGTTTTGTTTTGCAGAGGCATGTTGTTGACTTCTACATCTCTGATTTCCAATCTGGTTTAAGAGCATTGGTTAAGACTGGCGGTGGCACAAAAATAACTCCTTTGGTTGACGATTCTTTGGTTGTTGATATTAACCCTGGAAAGAAAGACTTGTCTCCGGAGTTTGTCAGGTGGTTGGGAAAGAAAAATCTTTCGAGTGATGAGCGTTTAATGAGACTGAAAGAAGGGTAAGACTCTCCCCTTGAAGAATCAGATCATCAAGTATTTAATTTCACTCCATGCCCTTAGGTTGAAGCTTGAACCAGAAAACATGTTAGGTGTTGATCATATCTTCTTTTTTTTTAACAGTCCCCTACTACCCTTGTTGAAGTAAGGCATCCGTCATGATTTTTATTAGTTGAGGATCTGTAGCCATTGAACTGTTTTTAGGTATTTTGGAAATGTTGAATTCATGAAACTGCATCCGTGGCTTTTTGCAGGTACATCAAAGAAGGCAGCACTGTTAGCGTGATGGGGATTGTTCAGAGAAATGACAATGTGCTTATGATAGTGGCACCTCCGGAGCCATTGGCAACCGGATGGCAATGGCCCAGATGCATCTTTCCAGCTAGCCTTGACGGTATTGTTTTGAGATGTCAAGATACATCAAATGATGATGTGATACCTGTGTAGCTAGAAGCATCCAGACCAAAACTACGTTAATTTACAAGATGTCATTGTGATTTTATTTTTCTTCGTTGATTTTCCCTCCAACATGGTGTATAGATTTCTTTCCCAATTCTTTCAGAACATCGGCTCACTACGATTAAAAAAAAGAAAAAGAAAAAGAAAAAAGCCAACCACGATTCTTTCTTTTCTTTTTTCTTTTTCGTTGTGATGACCTCCCATTGGTGCTTGATGTACCTTGAAGTTGAGATTCATGTATTTTCTGATCTTACGTGCAGCGATATGTATTACCTTAGAAGTGAAATTGTACATCTCGTAAGCCTATCCTTAATTGTATTTTCTGCTCGCCGACTTGTATATATATGTATATGTATGTATGTATGTTCAGAGAAAGAGAGAGAGATACATTTGCCAAACCAGCTGGTAAAGGTGAAATAATTTTAAATGCTGTGGGTCGGTTGTCCAACTTGTATTTATTCATCAGAAAAGGAGGCCCGACAGAAATATTACCTTAATAATTTATGCATTATTATCTAATATTAATGCTGCATTTTCCAAATTTTGCAGTAAACACTTTAATCTAATGAACATTCTCCACTTGAAGAAGCTGCAGCATGGTCTACTAATACAGTAGCTAGCTAGCCTTCCAAAGTTCTTACATAATTTATACAGAACTTGCTGCTGCTGCTGCTGCTTTTTTCAATGACAGCTTTATTCATTATTATTATTCTATTTGTCAAATATATATTAAAAATGAGTAGAAACTAGCAACAACAAACTCCAGATTGAAGCCGATGTCTTTGCAAAATAGCATTAATTACTGTTGGATCATATCTTTAAACAACAATGACTACCAATAACAAAAAACCAATTCTGAATACCACACATTGTCAATGAATTCTTCCTAAAACTAATTCTTTTTACTAGCATATGAAAATAAACAGCCATGGAGAGAAAAAAAAAAAAAAAAAACTCTGGTTCTTATCCCAGACAAGATTATTATTGACTAGATCGAATGACTTGGATTGAAGCTGCATTCCTGCATAAAGTTTCTTTCTTGCAACTTAGCTCTTTTACAGCCATTTGAAACACACGATTGATTCTCCAGTAACGAATGAGCCTGAAAATATGTAAAGAAACAATTAACCTTTGATTATTAAAAACAGGTTTACCCGTAATTGATCAATGTACAGTTCTAATTATTATTTTTTTTCTTATTGAAACCTTTTATTATTTTTTAGCTTAATTGAATTCTTCTATTTTTACAAATTTGTTGATTGAGACCTTCTTTGTAACACCTTTGATATGTCTGGTTTATAGCCTTCCAACTTTGCTTGCCAGGTGATCATTCTAAGCATCTCATAGATTGAAGACGCATTTTTATGAGTCCTATCATTGGCCACAAAATCACGAATCCCTTCGTTTATTTGAATCCAACTTCGACCAGCATGCGTTTTTGCACCGATCGAAACCATCTTCTCTCTCACGGTAGCAGCATCCTGCCACTTTTCAGCAGTTCCAGACACATGTGCCAAATGCGAAAGGTAACGAGCAGCTTTGTCAGAGTCACGCTCCACCATTAATTTTTGAGACACATGGGAAGCAAGCTCAGAATTGCTATGAATTCTGCAACCGCCAAGTAGGGCACCCCAAACAGCATCATTTGGTTTTTTAGGCATGGTTTCTATGAGATCTCTTGCCTCATCCAAGAAACCAGCACGACTCAATAAATCAACCACGCACCCATAGTGCTCAATCCTAGGCTTAATACGCCAACACTGGATCATGTCCTAGAAGAATTTACAAGTCCAGCATGACTGCACGCAGAAAGAACCGCAATGAAGGTTATGGCATCGGGCCTTTCTTCCATAGTGCCCACAGTTTGCATTAAATGAAATACTTGGAGGGCCTCTTGTGCATAGCCCCGTTTTGCAAAAGCAGTGATCAAGCTTGTCCAAGAAATAGTATTTTTCTCTGGCATCCAACGAAATATTTCATATGCTTCTTCAATCATACCGCAGCTAGCATACACGTGTATATAAGTGCATTGTTCAAAGAAACCGACACCCGCTGGTTTGAACCAACAAAGGTCTTTTGAATATACGAGTGAATCCACCTCCCTAACATCAAATCCCCCAAAAGTTCTGCACATGCTGTCAAGGCTGCCACTAATACCACCTGGTCCAATTCCACATGGGCTCTCCTCGTTTGATCGAACAAATTCAATGCTTGCTTGCACTTGCCGTTTTTTGCATGCCCTGAAATCATAGTGGTCCAGGAGAAGACATTCCTCTCCCTCATCCCATTGAACATAAATCATTTTTGTTTATACATTGATTTTAAAATAAAAAATTATAATAATTTTAATTAAAATATTAATAAGAATTTTTTTAAAAAAAAACATTATCAGTATGTCTCAAATGATAGAAATACAACACAATCAATTAACCATTATAAAGTAATGTGATTTCATAAACTTCAAAACCATTTATAAACAAGCTACTTTAATATAATTTACAAACAACCAACACAATTAAAATTAAACCCATTGTTATTTTACAAAAATTCAACAACTTATCACTATAGTCACTTAATGTTTTCACTCTCAAAATCGTATGTTCTTTCTTTGCCTTTTGTGTTGCTATCTAGCAACTCTTCCATTTTCATGAATACAAAATCTAACTCATTCTTCAACCTTTCAACTTTTGTAATCAATTCATTGTTTTCTTCCAACAATAAATTTTTCTCTCTATAAATCTATCTTTGTCTATTTCTCATCCCAAAATAATCATCCTAGCTCCGCCTATTATGAAATCATCTTTCCACACCCAATAACTACAATCAAAATTTGTATTACCATTATGGCCAAAACGTGTAGGACATGAATAGAACCTCAAACCTGGATGCTTGTCACTCCATGACATCCACCTTGCAATCTTCAACCTATAATGACATATCATTGCAAGCTCTTCATAGTTCAATTAAGGGATTTGTGGTGAAGTTGCAAAAATCAAATGCAATCTATCATCCTCGATTTCGTTGGCGAGAGTAGAGAATTGTGAATTGATTCCATCACTAATTTTTCTACATGTTGACGACGAAGATGATGAACTCATCTAATTTAAGGTTTTCATGAAATGAAAAAAATAAATTTGAGGGTTTTAGAATTTTCACGAAATGAAAAAAATCCATTTAAAGGTTTTAGGACTTTTACGAATTGTGGGTTTTTTTTTGTTATAGAATAGATGATAAAAAGATGAATGCTGTTTGCTTTTTAAGAAGATTCTCATAAACATAGATAATCGAAGAAGAAGTGAAAAATAGGAGAGAAGGAATAAGAGAAAATGAGTTTCCTTTTTAGGTTAAAGATCTCTCCCGAGTGCAACAAGAGAGAGAAAATTAAATTGTGCTTTTATTCTTAGGTTTTTTTTCCTCATCGTATATAGTCTTGACATAATTGGGGTTTTTTTTGGGCCATGTGGATACTTATTTCTGATGTGTGATGCCATGTGAAAATTAAAATATATATATGTATGGACCACATTAAGAAAATTAGAAGAGTAGAAGAACGTCAATGCGATTAAATCAAAAGCAGGGATATAGCGGAACCAATACCGGCGAGGTCATGGAAACGGAGAAAAAGGATCATTCTTCCTTACTCGTCAACATCTGATGATAACACCTTTGATATGCTTGATTTATAGCCTTCCAACTTTGCTTGCCAGGTGATCATTCCAAGCATCTCATAGATTGAAGACGTATTTTTATGAGTCCTATCACTGGCCACAAAATCATGAACCACTTCGTTTATTTGAATCCAACTTCGACCGGCGGGCTTTTTCGCACCCATCGCAACCATCTTCTGTCTCACGGCAGCAACATCCTGCCACTTTTCAGCAGTTGCATACACATGTGCCAAAAGCGAGAGGTAACCAGCAGCTTTGTCAGAGTCAAGCTCCACCTTTAATTTTTGAGACACATGGGAAGCAAGCTCAGCATTGCTATGAATTCTGCAACCGCCAAGTAGGGCACCCCAAACAGCATCATTTGGTTTTATAGGCATGGTTTCAATGAGATCTTGTGCCTCATCCAAGAAACCAGCACGACTCAATAAATCAACCATGCACCCATAGTGCTCAATCCTAGGCTTAATACCCCAACATCGGATCATGTCCTTGAAGAATTCACGGCCATCGTCAACAAGTCCAGCATGACTGCACGCAGAAAGAACCCCAATGAAGGTTATGTCATCAGGCCTTGCTTCCACAGTTTGCATTAAATGAAATACTTGGAGAGCCTCTTGTGCATAGCCCCGTTTTGCAAAAGCAGTGATCAAGCTTGTCCAGGAAACAGTACTTCTCTCTGGCATCCATCTAAACGTTTCATAAGCTTCTTCAATCATACCGCAGCTAGCATACATGTGTATAAGTGCATTGTTCAAAGAAACCGACACCCGCTGGTTTGAACCAACAAAAGTCTTTTGAATATACGAGTGAATCCACCTCCCTAATATCAAATCCCCCAGTTCTGCACATGCTGTCAAGGCTGCCATTAATACCACCTGGTCCAATTCCACAGGGTCTCTCCTCATTTCATCGAACAAATTCAATGCTTGCTTGCACTTGCCGTTTTTTGCATACCCTGAAATCATAGTGGTCCAGGAGACGACATTCCTCTCCGGCATCTCATCGAAAATCCTCCTCGCCCCGACAAGATTTCTACACCTCATATACCCTGCAAGCATGGTATTCCAGCTCACAACATTTCTTTCAGCCATATCATCAAACACCCGATGTGCGTAGTCAATACCAGCGCAGTCGCCGCCAGCAGCAGCATAGAAATGAATCAACTTAGACATGAGAAAGACATTTGAGGAATAATAGCCATCAGCCAAGATTTTGGCTTGAACCTGTTGCCCCTGCCTCAAAGACAAAAGAGACGTGCAAGCAGCCAAAAGAAAGGAATAGGTGTAGGCATCAGGGCGGGCAACTGTGAGGAGCATTTGATTGAAGAGGTGGAAGGATTTGGTTGGGGTTTGGGTTCGAGCATGGGCTCTAATCATCTGGTTCCATATGGCAGTGCTGGGGCTGTCAATATCTTTAAAAACATAATGGGCATGGAGAAGATGATGAGCGGAGTCAATGTAGAAGGAAAGAAGGTTAACAAGAAGGAAGTTTTTATTGCGGGAAAAGCCATTAAGGAGAATCTGGGCATGAATCTGAGAGAGGCTTTTAAGGTTTAGTTGTTGTTTTCGTTGTAATAGAGAGAATAAGCGTTGCTGCAGAGCTCTTGAAGAGGTAGTTATTCTCGTCAAGCCGTTACTGTTGGCGGAAACATAGGTTCCTTTTCCTTCAACTAGCATCTGCGTTCCCTTCTAAACATGTTGATTTTCCTTCTTTTTTCCCCTTTTCTTTTGAAAGCTCGCAGGATTTTCACTGATTGATAATAATAATAATAATAATAATAATGTTGAAGCACTTCCCGCCAGGAAAACACGCTCTATTTAAGATTAGAAGAACACCATTAATCATGTGCTCACCTACTTCACAATATTCTTCTTCCTCCTCCTCCTACTCATCTAATAAATACTCTCGTCCCAAAAGGATAATATTCTCACGTTTTATTTATATTAAAAAATTATTCATTATTATGATTTATTAACATTTTTGGTAAATTATAGATTAGTCTTTTTTCCCCCTTTTTGAGAAACAAATTAATTAATGTTTCTCATTTTAAAAACTAATTATTTAGTTTTTAAATTTACTAGCAATTTAACCATTTTTGTTATTTTTTTTAACTTATTTTGATTTTTTATTTTAAAAAATAGAAAAATAAAAAAATATAGGACCATGTGTCTCAACGAGACACAGATGGCCTCCGGAGACACCATAATATCCCAATCTCCTTTCTGACCATCCCTCAGGGATTGGAGGCATAGGCATTGGCATTGCGAGCATATTCTTCTGTTCAATATCAAATCAAAAGTGCCGAGTATCCTCTGCTAATCCAATGCAATGCGTGGTTCAAAAAGACACCTCGATTGAATGAAAATCATGGGAAAAAACTTGGCGATGATTTCTGGGAGACTCTCCATGATCCTACTGCTGAATCATATATCTTAATTGCGATGGAGTCACAGAAGCATATGATTTTGTAATGGGGTGATATGGTAGGATTATATGTTATGTTAATGCCAAACGCAATCTTACATTCTGGTTTAGGCACTTGGTGATATTGCTTGGTGGTGGGTTTATAGATGTAGTACTTCCTATCATCTTCATGGCACCGAAAACTGCTGCATAGAAGGCCATTGCAGGAATGTTGTCTACAAACCGCTTGATCATCTTCAATGAAAGAAAGAGATGGCTCAGGAGCAGTATCAGCCTGTCCTTCACATGTAATGAACTCAAGTTTCGAGTACTGTTCAAGAAACAAGAATTTTTGTAAAAAGAAACCAGAGACATGGAGTTGTGGGTTTCAACGCGAATAATTGGATATGAAGATAGGATTTGAGAAGATATGGTTCCACAATTGGCACACGCGAATTTGGATATCAACAAGGACTTTAAGGTTAGTCGAAGAAGTATTTTGATCATGCCATCTTTTTCATTCATGACCATTGATGCCTGCCTTGTTCTTCCAGACGGCCGAGAAGACAGGTTTCGACTTCTTTGAATGTTTTGCAAGAACGTGATTACAAAAGCTGATGCGAATTGGAAATTGGACATAGATCAAGAGAAAAATAAATTGAGGATTCAAACTCAGCAGGAACAAATAGAAGTGGATCCACAGACATACCTGTTTTCTCCCAAGACAAGTCTCCCAGATATAATAAAGATATAATAAGAATGCTTCGAGGCATACAAATTGTATGTATTTTCACTGCTAAAAGTCGAGTCTTGCAAGTAGTTTCGTGGAAATTAACGTTAGAATCGACTGAGTAGTTTTTCTTTTGGTTCCAGCAAACAAGCTTCTTAGTTATTTCCTGGTTCTTACAAGACGATAAAGAAATGTTTTTTTTACCAAGTTACGCAGTCAGAAAATTGTTCCATAGCTCACGCATGAGGCAGTAGTCCACTAAGAAGAAACCTAAGCCCCTACTCCTTACGTGTTTCCCGGAAACTACTGAAGGAAAATTCGATGAAACAAGTGAGCCCCTTCTAGAGAGTTGCTCAAAATCGAAGGTAATTTTAAACAATGAAAATGTCAAAATACCACCTGCAAGACTATAGGAGAAACACGCCCAAACAAAAAAGTAGAAACAATACTGGAATTTTGCAGCCTAGGAAAATGTTGTTGCAAATTCGGATTCAAAGTAAAGTTCCTGTCTTTTTGTCTATCATGAAAACTCTGACGGAAATTATATGTGACAGAAACTGCATATGGATTACCTGAGAAGCTAACAGAGGAATCCCTTTAGAAGGGTTATCCTCTACCCAAACTTGCTCTTGAGCTAAACTAGCTGCCAATTTACTCAGGCGTGGCCGCATGGGCAACTTGATTAGTACATCTAAGGGACAACTGAAACAATCAAACAATAGCCAATGGAAAGAATGCCTTCTGCTTCCGAACTCTTTGTAACCGATCTCTGCAACCAAACACATGCCATACCCAGCTGCCTCTGCAGGATATTTATCGCTCAGCGGTTCTAACACTCCCAAAATAATCTTTTCCCCTCATTTCAAACAATATCATCCAACCAATACCCTCATCGTTAAGGATAGCTACATCTGTATTGAGCTTCACCAAATTCTGTGGCAGTGGTTTCCAGCAGCAAACTCTTGGTGCCAAGACATAGAGATATCATAAGTAAATGAAACAGGCTATATGACCACCCATACTAGGTATATGTCCATTGTGAAACGGTTAACACTTATCCAAAGTTTATCATTGCTCCTCCTCTGCTCAAATATACAAAACTGCAAAAATGATCGTCACCCCAGAACAAATTCAAGAAATGACCTCTGCACAGCTACAATAGCAGCATCCTTAATTACCAGCAGAAACTAAAAATCTAAGCAGCGCTGAGTAAAACCAAAATTCCAATATGTAAACTTCCTGTTTACCATCCATTGTTGATAAACAATAATACAGATCGATATAAATCTAACACAAAAGAAAATAACAGATTACTAAAGACTACAAGCTCAAATCAGCAAAAATTCAATCCAATTGCCACCAAAATTCTATTCTTTTTCCCTCAAAGAAAGTAGAAACATCCCTTGTAATATGAATACAACAGAAATTCATTTGCTAAATAAAAATGGTACATACTAGTACTAAGTAGAAATGATCACGAAGAAGAAGAGGGAGGTTTAGTGGCAGTCGTAACAGCATTCCAAATCTGAGCAATACCCCCAACAACATGAGGCCAAACAGTTTCAATACCTCTAAAAGCAGAAGCAGAAGCAACCCCAATAGCAAAAGTCTCAGCATAGCCAGGCTTTGAGTCCAACTTCATATCCATAACAGCCAGTCTTGTGTTAACTGTATCAATCTTTCTAGATGCCTCACCCATCATCTTGTCTTTCTTGCTCCTGTTGCTAGAAGATATGACCCTAAAGAGAACATTTTGGAGATCTTCAATGACTTTGATGGATGCTTCTTGAGAATCAAGGCCTTGAGATTGGTAATGGGATATCAGCTCTTGTGGAGTTGGTAGCTTTTTCTTTGTGCCTTTGCTGCTGCTGCTGTTGTCTTTTGATGGGGTAACATTCGGTGTCGCAGGTTGTTCCATTTTCACAGTTAGACACTCAAGAAATCATGCAACTCTCTTTTTTTTTCTTTGGGGGATTTGGAATTTTGAAGAGGAGAGTTAAATCCCTCCTTTGGATGATAAAATCATAAAACCCTAAAATTGAATCTATATATTAGAGAGGCAAAAAGATAAGGTATGGCTTTTTTCTCGGGAGAGGAGAGGTCGAGGATCTGCTAATGGGCTTTGGGGAGAAGTGAGTGGACCAGAGCTTATATTGTATTGATCTAAGGCCCAAGGCCCATGTTGATTTGACGAGCTGGTAAAACCGGGCCCCCTAAACTAAATTAAACAAGGTGAAAAACAGATCACTGAAGATGTTTTTCGCACTTTTTACAATCATTGAAAAGGCTACCATGACATCACAACACTGCAAAATAGCAAGTAAAGTAAAAAACATGTAAAAATAATAATTATTACTAAACCATACCTTGATTAAATTTTGAGTTAATAGATTGATTTGTACATAAAAACCTTTCATTTGTCTAACTTACCGAGACATTTTGGAAATAATTATAATAGTTTAACCAACAAATCTTAATAGAAGAATAAATTAAAAAATTAATGCTTGTTCAAGAATAAAATTAACTCGATTAATAATATATAAACAAATTGAGTCATTAACCTTAAGATTTTTCAGAAAGAACTAATAAACATAGCGTATTCCTCTCAGGTAGGAATGTTGCAGCGCTGCAATTAGCCCTAATTCCACATCTTTACTCAAAAGTCCAAGAACACCGATAAAAAATATTTGGGAACCTTATGCACATCTTAATTAGCAGTTTTCAACAATTAATGATCATCTGTATATATGGGAGGTAAGTATTCTAATTAAAAAACACAAATTGTGCTTAGAAAGTGCACTCTACTAAGATCTCATCTCGTCTCGTCTCTTATTCAAGAGGCTAAGAAACAGGAAAAAAAAAAAAAAAAATCTACCATCACTAATCACGAGGGCACCCAGCTGAGCTTGATATATATTATCAAAACACCTATCAGTATATTTGCAAAAATATCTAACCACTCTTCCATGCTAATGGGTGCTGCATTTTGTATACTCTTCTGATTAAACCGCACAAGATATCAACAACTCTCAGAGAAACACCGGTGCCATCACAAGTGTTATTGTTGCCAACATTTTTATGAGGACATGAAGTGAAGGTCCTGCAGTATCTTTGAATGGGTCCCCGACACTGCACATGCAAAATAAATGACATATTTTAATTATAATTAACTCACAAGATTCAGAAATCAGAACACCTACCAATGATTTCTATAGCTTTATTTCCAACTCTTGAATAATTTGGGAAAAAAAGGTTACCACTTTTAAAACAAGATCAGACGATGATAGCAATACTTACGTATCTCCAGTAACTGCTGCTTTATGACAATCACTCCCTTTGCCTCCAAGAGCACCTGTCTCAATGTACTTCTTTGCATTATCCCATGCACCACCTGCTGTGTTCAGGAAAAGAGCCATGAGAATACCACAAACTGTTGCAAACATCAGCATGGAAGCCACAACTTTAGCCCCAAGTAGAGACTGGCCTGTATAGTGCCCCAAAAACCGGAACAGAATGCCTGCAAGCAATACGAATGCCAAGCAAACTTCACTAAATCCTCAAAGAGATCAATGAAAAGAAACAAAATCCAATGGCAAGCAATTAACCCACCAACAGCCATAGGGGATATAATAGCCAAGGCACCAGGTTTTATCATCTCCCTCAAAGATGCAGATGCGACGATAGCAACGCAGCGACCATAATCTGGTTTCTCCTTGTACTCCTGTCATAAGCATTTTAATATAGAGCATCGTAACTGCACCAAACCATAATAGAAGAAACTAGTACAGAAACATATACTCACCATGATACCTGGCCTCTCAATAAATTGCCTTCTTACTTCCTTGACGACCTCCTGAGCAGTTCGGCCAACTGCTGAGCAGGCCCAAGCACTGAATAAGAAAATAAGCATCGAACCCAATAATCCACCGACAAAAACTTCTGGAATAGCAATATCGACCTGACAGCCAAATGAAAATGCAAATCTAAGATTCAGAGTTGAAGCATTGAAAACAGACCATAATAAAATGCAAGTGTGAATATGTTTACCTGTGTGAAAGGTTCACGAGCAAATGTAGCAACCTCATCCATATAAGCACTAAACAGAAGGAAAGATGCCAGTGCTGCAGACCCAATGGCAAATCCTTTAGTTGTAGCTTTTGTGGTGTTCCCAACAGCATCAAGAACATCAGTAATCTCCCGAACACTTTCAGGCTGTATGTCATGTATTTGTATACAATGGTTATTCAAATGAAGAATGTCGTTCCTTGATTGACAATTTTCAATGAAGACAATGATCAAGAGTTACCTGCTGACTCATTTCTACAATTCCACCAGCATTGTCAGCTATAGGGCCAAACATATCCATGGTAAGAACATAGGCAGCAGTGCTGAGCATTCCCATTGTGGCCACAGCTGTACCAAACAGCCCACCAGTTGCGTTTCCAGCCTCATCCACCAGTCCCGAGGTCTGACCCAGCCAAAAAGCTGAAACTATGGATACACTAATGACAAGAACGGGAAGAGCTGTTGCTTCCAGGCCCAGACTAACTCCTGCAATTATGTTAGTCCCATGGCCAGTGGAGCTAGCAAGAGCCAATGAGCGTACAGGACCATGCTTGTAATCAGTATAGTACTTGGTGATCCAGACAAAAACATAAGCTGTGATGATTCCAACCAGTCCACATAACGCAAAGTGAACCCATGCTGCAGGTGCTTGTTCTGTATAAAGCATCCAATAGGTAGACTGCAAAGCAGCATATTTAATGCATTAAACACAAGCAAAACCATATCGCATAACTTACACAGAGATTAAAAACAGAAAGTGCAGGCTTTCAATGCTTGATCAAATTTGGATATTAAGGCCCAGTGAAATACTATTAAAAGCAGATTAACAATTAAGAATACAGCCATGTTTCAATCCTAAAGCTTACCGCAAAGAATGTAAGAACTGCCAGAAATATGGTAACAGAGTATCCTTTCTGAAGGATCGCCATTGGATCCTCGATGGGAGACTTCGCACTAGAATCACGAGTACTCCTGATGGAAAGAATTCCAACTGAAGATATGACCAGGTCAAATGAATGAACAACAAGAGGAAACAAGATGAAGCCAGATGGATCTGCATGGAAAAAGAATGTTAGCTACAAAAGAAGAGGAATGGCCTGACATAACAAAAAAACATAAATGAATTCCGGAGTAGGTAAAGAATCGTAGAAGTAGGAATGTCACTGCACAACAAAGGCTTTGATAATGCTAATACTCCCTAGTTAAGTATAATGCCAACATAAAACCCAATTAGCTGATAATGGCCTGACTATAACCCTCAGAATCATTTAGCCATATCACCAACGAAAACATTATGAATTTCATAGTTGGACAAAACCATTGGTAAGTTTATGAGGAACTACTGTGAATTTCATGAGTAAAGATACTTGCCCTCGATTTTGCACCGTTGTGCCATGGTTCCCCCAAGTATCATGGCACTGATTATTTCAGCTGCAATACTTTCGAAAAGATCAGCACCTCGAGCAGCACAATCACCCACATTGTCTCCAACCTTTAATGCAACAATTTATTAGTTATAAAGCAAGTTTAGATAAATAGAATACATCTTGACCCAAGAAAACATAAAAGCAGTCAAGGCATAATCATTGACAAGAAGAAGATATTTATGTGGTACTTGTTATTAATTTGAACTTCCACGCACACTATATCCCAAAATTACACATCTTCAAATAGCAAATAATATATTAAATTCAATGCCAAAAACAAGCTGCAGTGCTAATAAATAATTCTTCAAATGAGGAAGCTACAAAATTTAAGGATATATACCAAATCTGCAATCACTGCAGGATTCCTAGGATCATCTTCTGGTATACCCTGCTCTACTTTTCCAACAAGGTCAGCCCCAACATCAGCAGCTTTTGTGTATATTCCACCACCCAATTGAGCAAACAGTGCAACAAATGAAGCTCCAAATCCATATCCCACAAGGAGAAGAGGCACTGGGAGAGAAGAAAATGAAACACGGCCATCTTAGTTGTATGAGTCACAACAACAAAATTCAGTTTTCACAAAAAAATTTAAAAAATGAAATTATTTCCATTTGCTAAATTAATAGCAATTAACTAGGAAGAAGGGATCGTTACATACAATCAGTAACCTTCATTGAACCAGGGGAATCCACATCCAACCAAACATAAAATGTAGCATAAAGAATGGCTATGCCAATGACAGCCATGCCAACCACCACAATGGCAGAGAAACCACCAGCACGAACAGCTATCTGCATATTATATTTTCCGGTTAAGGTATAAATCAACAATCATTCAGAAGACATTGGATGGTAAAAGGGACAACCTGTAGTGCCTCTCTAGCTGACCGTCTTGCAGCACTAGAAACTCTAACATTTGCACGTACAGACACCCACATCCCAACATAACCTGCAATACCTGAACACAAAGCCCCCAAAAGGAATGCAGCAACAGTGATATATGCAGATGTTGACCTGAATCAGAAGGACAAAATCACAAAAACTAGTCAATTCTCAGCACATGACGAAAACATGGACATAATGCTTCACAACAAAATTTGGCATATCTAATCACCTTCCAAGGCCAGAAGCTTCTTGTTGAGGAGTTGTACTGCGGAAGAAATATATGCAGAAGATCAGCAGCGCTAGCAGCAAAGCCATCTTAGAAATAGTACTATACTGGGTCCTAAAGAAACCTTCTGCTCCATCACGTATTGCATCTGATATCTAGAAAGCAATATGATAATATCAAGTCATGAAGCCAACATATAAAAAACCAGAATCACTGGCTATATGCACAATAGAGAGAAGATGTACCTGAATCATCTCAGGAGGTCCTTCATCCTTTGCAAGTACCCATTTGGTAAGATATATTGAAAAAAGGAAGCTGAGGATACAAACTGTGAAGACAAACACAATGATTGGAGAAGTACTTGCTCCAATGTAAAAGACCACTCCAAAACCCAATAGCAAAAGTATAAATAGAACACGAACATTTATTCGCTTGAGTACTCGGAATATCTGCACAAAAAAATGTTAATTTAGTCCATAAGAGGAGAACAAGATAACAATGCCGCAAGAATAACATAGCGAACCTCATGAAAATAACATAAAGGAATGTAATCTGGTACTAATAAGAATTTAAATGAATCATAAATTAGCACAACAAGAAAATAAATTAGGGAGTCCAACAGTGATATAACATGAAAAATACTGAATATTAGACAAAAAAAGTTGGTCACACCCAAATAGAAATGCGTGCATGCTCACATGTGTAACTGCATGTTAATGCTATATGATCCTCTTATAATAAGAATGGTCGTCAAAGAAATGTGAGAAGAGGTTGAGCATTAGGTTTCTCACCAATGGATTGTACGATTTGCTTCGCATGTTAGGGAAAGTCCTTGGCCTCTCTTGGAAAGGCCCCAAACTACCAGTCTCAACATCATCACCGGTCATCATTTTATGGGATGAATTTACCCTTCGAACTACAGGAAAATGGATGTCCTCACTGCCTTGGGGCAAGTCGCCCCCTGAACCAGGTCGCTGAATTTAGAAGGGTAGATCTAAAAGCTCAAGTGATTACAAATCTAAGGACCACCAACTTTATGTATTCTACTGCCCTTTCTAATCCCCTAAATAAGTTCAGCAACTAAAAGCTCCCCGCTGGCAGCCAGAAAACACCAACTCGACTTCCTGGTGAAAAAAAAAAAAAACAATGCTCCAGTAAATAATCATGAAAATAAGAACAATACCGTGCAGTACAGTTTCCACATTCCACATATATCCTCTAAAAACAAAAAGCATAATCATAAGCTCATAGGAAAATCATTCAAAAGCTCTATTCGGTCATGTTGCGAATTAGAACAGAAATTGAAATAAAGCATGCTAAAAGAAAAGAAAAATATGGGGTTTGTTTTATTGGCATTTTAGTGGGTACAGTTTAACTGAATTGACTTAAATGAACACAACACGGATCGATAATCCTTTCCTTGCTGATATCAATGATCATAAATAGATTAGATTCGATTAGGAACAAAATAACAACGAGACTGAGTGAGATTAGATTAAGACGGGTTTTAGCATTTTAACAAGCAAAACTAAAATCCAAAGTAAGATCTAAACCAAAACAACAAAATCTTTAGCATTTGGCGAGTGGACTTTTCAGAAAGATCTGCTTACAATTTCGGAAATATAACAAAAACTCTGTGCACATAATTGCACTGCGCTTCGATCTCAGAGGAGAGAGAGAAGAAGGAAGATCTCACTCTAGGTTTAAATATAAATTAATTAAATACGAGGATTGAGCGGAAAGGAGAGAGTAAGATACCGTTTTAGCGAAAGGTAACCGCCATTAACGGAAGCGTTCGATTTTTTCGATACCTCTTTCTCTTCTTTTCTTCTCTCTCTCTGCAAGTTCTGCAGACTTTTCCTTCCTTTCGCCCACAGAGAGAGACAGATAATAAAAATTACGAGTAATTATAATAACATAAATACTCCTCTCTCTTGCTACTTTCTCTACAGAAAGACAGAGAGAGTAACAGTTTGGATGGAAAGATAGATCTTCTAATTTCCAATTTTCACTTCTTTTTTTTTTTTTTTTTTGTAAAGAACATATTTGTCACCCAACTATTCTTGGTTTTCAAAAGGGTTCCTAGACATGAATAATTCTCAATTGGACCTATCTATCATTAGTTGATTCCGATCATTGAAATTCAGCTAAATAGTCCAAGCATTTCTTGAACTTTAAGTCGTCCAAAAATTGATCCTTGAACTTTAATTTTGAGTTAGACTTCGTTTTAACTATGTTCCATTCAAAATTCACTTTTTCTACTAAGTTTTCATTACTTCTAATACAAGTAGTGATATAATTGTTTTTATTTGATTAAAATTAAAGTTCAATTCTCATGATTTAAAAATAATTAGATATAATTATTATTTAATGGTACTAGATTTTAAATGCTTTAGCCTATGGCATAGTCTAGTGATCAATGAAAGGTTGAATAGAGTTTGTTATAAATTTAATTGTGAAAATAATGTACTTAATTTTGATTGATGTGAAAACCAATCTAAAAATATCCTATTATATATGTGTGTGTGTGGGCGTGCATGCTTGCGTGTATGTCCGTCAAGTATAATTCTTTAAACCCTAAACCCTATATTAAAATTTATAAATATGTTGATTTTTCGTTCAAAACTTTTTTCTTCCTCCTAAATAATAAAAAAGAAGCAATTAAATAATATTTTAAAATGAAAAAAAAATAAACATTGGAAAAAAAATTATCCATAAGTGTTGGTACATTTTAAGTTATCGAAAAAAGTTAAAAAATTAATTACATACAAGTCATATATACTTCCATCGTTAAAATTGATAAACATATAATAAAATGATTCGATTTTAAATAAAAATATGATTCGAAAAAGATATTAACTTGAAATTAGAAATTAAGAAACTGTTTTTTCTCGATAACTTAAAATTGAAAAAATACTTGGACCTTTTAGCCTTGAAACTTATGACAAAAACTAAACATTTTTAAGACATTAAGTCCCTCTTTTAATGATTTCAAAGAAATAAAATCTGATGGGACCATTAATTGGGTAACTTATAGTGGATGAGGATCCATTGGAAATGTTTCTGTCCGGGGATCTAATTGATAATTAGGTAATAGTTGGGGGATAAAATATCTCCTTTTGCTTTTTTTTTTTTTTTCTCTTTTGAAATTTCCATAAGATTTGTATGTTACTTAAAATAAAATTTCGGTTTATATGGTTGACTATCAATCTTAATCTTAATATACATATGCTGATGGCATATTCTGCCATGTCAGCTTACCAATGGCAGCCCGCCATATGGTCATTTTATTAACACGTGGATTTACCTACGACCAAAAATAAAATATACTGCTCTCTATTCACCGAAAATAATAGTAATCATATATATATATAAAAAAAAAAAAAACACACAAATTTCGTTTTTTAACGCAATCACTAACAACTATATCATGCCAAAATATTTATTTTGTAAGATTATAATCAACCGAACTCGAGTATATTCTAAAATTATTTTCTTATTATATATTTTTTAATATTTTAACAATACTCGTCACACAAGTTAATATTGGTTACTTACCTATTTTATATTGCTCTTTTTTTCCAAAAAAAAAAAAAATTAAATCCATTGATTTTTCAGGATTAAAGATGGAAGCTGGAATCCTATTTATTTATCTAAAAATTTAACTCAAACTGAAAATGCATTGTTTTTTTCTCTAAAAAAATGCATACACAAATCGATTTTATTGTTATTTGATAAATGCTGTCATTTCGTATCAGGAGTTTATTTGTCAAAAACTTCTATTTTTATCTTGTAGTTTAATCTTAAAAATTTTGGTCAATTATAACCCCGCCTTAAATCGGGCACACACAAAGGACAAATTCATGAGTAAATTATAAATTAATTTTTTTATATTTTCAAAAAGAATTAAATGATTCATCTACTTTTAATAACTAGTTAATTAGTCTTTACATTTTTAAATCTATTTATAACTTAATAATTCTTATTATTTTTCAATTTATCTTGTTGAAATATAAAAAAATATGAAAAAGATAGATAAGAAAAAAGATATTTTAGGAGTTTCGCAAGCCGTTTGCGGAGATGCTTGGATATTTATAATTAGATCGAACCAAAAAAGCTAGATTGCTATATATGAAGCAAGCAATTGCTGCAATAAATAAAGTTTTGAACTGGTTTACAAGAACTTTAGGTAGCTGTTAAGGATTTGCATGTTTTTTTGCTTCTTTGCTGCTGGTGATATCGATGGATGATTCATTCCATTCTTCTCGATCTCCCTGGTTCGGATCTAAACCCCAGATGCAAATTGTACCATCATCATCACTAGCTGAAGCTAGCATGGTATACCGTTTGAAAATTACAATAAAAAACATCTGTAAATCACATCATTAATTCATGTATTATATATATATATATATATATATATAGATCGTAATCAATGTAAACATTTATTTATATACTGTATAATATGGAGTAGCTATCTATTTGTATATTTCCTTTTGAAGGGAGCTCCCAGTAGTAGTAGTAGTACTAGAGTTATTCCTCAAGCAAGCTTTGGTGGATGCCACAGTCATCTGCTCCACTTCTATCCCACCATTGCACATGTTTGCTATCACTCTTGTATACTTCTTTCCATACCATGATAGAGCTCCACACTGTTTCTCGTAAGCTTTCACCTGCATATAATTGCAGCAATTTACAAACATTTATAAACTAGCTGTGATGTGTTTTTTGAAGTGCAAGCATGTAGCAGTTAACATATATAGACTTACAAGCCCCTTCAAGCAATCCCAGTCATCGACAAGAGGTTGCCCTGAAGGTCGAACAAACTTCATCAAATTTGCAGCATTTTCATCCCCAAACAGAATTGCAGCGATATGATTTATGCTACGGTCCACGTGCCGTATATGAGAATGTAGGCGAAGCAGGTCCTTGTGAGCCTCAGCCTTCTTATCAGATCCATCTGGGGCTTTCGAATACTGATAAAATTAAAATGAAACCACGTTACATTACATTACATTGCTTTATATTAATTTCATTTTAATTACAGTAGCAGTACTACAAATTAATTACCCTGTGCCAGAAATACAGAAGAGTCGCATCGCGTTGGTCAAAAGCTCTGGGGATCATTGAAGGGTATGCTTCAATGCCAATATTGACAGTGTAGTTATCATTTGCAGGGTTTGTGCCCATGTAAACAGAGAGCAGGTCCTTAATAAGCTCCATGTTTCCATATTGCATGACATGAGACCTGTCTTCATAGTCAAATCCTGTCCTTCTTCGAACCTATCGGTGATAAATATTAGTCAAATGCAAGTAGAAATAATAATAATCATCATCATCATCGTTGATCAATGATTTTTTAGAATTATTAATCTAATTTTATCAGGAAAACAAGTGGGGTGTGTATATATATATATATGTATGTATGTATCGTACCACTTCATATTGCTGCTGTAGAGTTTCCTGGCTCATATCGTGTAAATCGCTGTATATATGTATGCGCATAAACAGAATGTTAAATGAAAATGAGAAGTCAGGAAGAAAAATAAATCAGCTTAATCAATTTAAATGATGGTATAATATTAAAAAATGAACCTGTCCTCCATCCAAGAAATACTAAACACATCTCCCAAGCAAGTAAGAAATTCTGAGGGGGAGTAGGATAGTCTCCGGGACAATATATTCCATAGCTACTCTCCTCTGCATTTGCGGCAGTAACTGCATATATGCTCCAGTTGCTTGGAAGAAGACCTTCAAACATACTCCCAGCCTCACAAGCTTCAAGGTAGAATACCTGTGACAATTAATTTACGAATATATTACTGTTCAACTTGATTAACTGTGCGTAATTCCATTTTAATTTCTGCGAGCCAATTAACTACACCAGTAGTAACTTACCATGCTTTTATACGATTTAGCTTCGTGCTTCTTTTTAAACACTTCTATAAGATCTTTGGCATACAGGTCGTTCCCAGTAGGCATACCTGATGATTTCACCCATAAGATGATTTCTACTGATTACATATAGCTATTAGTCACTATCTGTCTGCTGTCTTTTTTTTTTTTTTTTCAAGGATTATGAAATGAAGATTTCTGATTGATTTGCAAGTAAAGTTGGATTAAACAAATTTGGTATACTTACCTACTAAGCCTGCAGCACCATGGTCAGCATAATATATAAAAATATTGTCATTTGGACCACTACCCACCACCTTGCCACTCCCTCCAGTGAGAGCAGATTTGTTTCCCAGAAGTACAGCAAATAGGTTGTCAACTGTGCAGTTCTCTCCGGTGTAATCCTTAAGAGAGAAGAAAAAGAAAAGAAAACCTCACATGAGAATTTGAAATTGTATTCATCACAAACCATAATGATTTTTAGACTAAAAAAAAAAAAAAAAAAACCAAGAAAGTTAAACCTTGGGGACTCCTGCATAAACATCATGGCCAAAAGGTTTGTTGATGATGATGCCAGGCCTGGGGTTATCAACATTGAAAGCAATGTCATCGTACATGAAAACGATGATGTTTTCATCTCTCAATCCACCTTTCCTCAGTATTTGGTATGCATGGCATACATCAGCCTGATTAAATTAAGACAGACACCAATTAAAACTACACACAAATCATACTAAATACACGCTAATTGAAATGAATACCTGATGCCTGTAATTTTCATAACCATTGGAGCCAGCAACCAAAATGGCCCACTGTTTTCCTCCAGCAGTGCTAGTAGTGTTGATCAGTTTCTGGCTCTGAGTGATGGAACTTAAGAATGCAAGGAAAAGAAGTGTGGCATAGCCATACACCGAGGAGCTGCTGCTGGTCATCTTGCAAGTCAAGTAATCAACCTGTAGAATATATACCAAGCTAGGCAATTAAAAAATTGAAAAAAAAAAAAAAAGATCACATTAATTGGAGTAGCTGGTTAAGAAATATTACAAAACTAATTAGGACAAGAAGCACAATTACCAGCTTGGTAATGATAAGAATATTAAGGATTTGGGATTGGTAATATAAAAAAAATGAAGAGAAGTGGGCTGGCTTGCTTGCTTATTTATAATCATCTTTAGGGGAAATGAACGGTTTGGATGAAATCTTCGATATGGTCGATAAAGTTGAAGATGATGGATATAGAAAAGAGAATGCTTTCCTAGTTGAAACTACGTTACAGGACAGCTAGGTAGGGAGGTGATCGATCAAAGGTGTTTTTGAAATGGACATGGAAATGATTTTAATTAACGTGGTTTATGAATCAAGAAAGTGACTCACTCTTTCTCTGCACTAACCCCACATATACATTTGTCTTTCTTCGAGCAAAAATACACACAAACTATATATATATATATATGTAGTGCATCCTACTGCATGCGGAGATGTGATTAGCATGAACAATGAGAATCCAAAGTTAGAAGATTTGTCAAGTAACAGGGACGTCAAACAAGAACTCACACCATACATACTATATATATTCAAATAACAGGGACGTCAAACAAAAACCCAATCCATATATGCTATGTATATTGATTCCTCTAAAGTAAATGAAAAATAGATTAATCCATGGTTTGATAGGTTGATTAGGAATATTTACCATTGGCTTTGCTTTGCTTTCTTCTTCTTCTTCTTCTTCTTCTTCTTCTTCTTTTTTTTTTTTTTCCTTTCTAATATTATAGATAGAATGATATTTTTTTGGATCAATTTTTAGGTTAATTGAGATCGAATTCTCATTTTTTTCGACTAAATAACATCAAATCATGCCTATTTTTGAGTTGATTCTAAAAATTGAATTATCTAAGTCTACAAATAGCTTATTTTCAGTACTGCAAAAAAAAAAAAAAAAAAAAAAAATTAAAATACTTAACTCTAGCAAAATTTTGATCATTTGATTCTGTCCTTTATTGGAGTGTTAATTCCACTCATCTTCCCCAGTTTTCTAAAATATCTCTTCTCTCAATTTTTTTTTCAAGAAAAATCTATCTTGAGAAATTATTAACGACGCTTAAAATTCTACTCTCTTCTCTCATTAAAAAAAAAAAAAAATTATGAAGAAGTCTTCTTTTTATATGAAAGATGAAATTTAACTCTGGTTATATATATTACAATGAAAGATGAAAATATAAATCTGGATATATTAAATAAATATTCCTTAATTTCTACCTCTCTTTCATACTCTGGATATATCAAATGTCCAGGAGCTAAAATAAATATTCATAAATTTATCAAAATTTACATAAATTAATATATATTATAAATAATATATCAATTTATATTTTAAAATAATCTCAAAATACAATCTCTCAAAATAATATATTAATTTACAAATATCCTAAATAATATGTGCATCTCTAGGATTTAGAGTCGAACTAAAAATGAGTAGCTCTGTCGTGTGATCATTAAATCTATTATTCAGTTCTTTCGATTGAGAGTCTATTACAGCATTGAATATGTCAACTTTATAACGATGCTTAACTATAATTGCACTAAATATATTCATCAAGCCGAAACAGATTTTAGATGAGAACTCCAACGAGTATCCCCAACTCTTTTGTAATATCTCAAACCCATTATTAAATAAATTAAAAATATATTTAGGATGTATGAAAACTATTCTGTGGACATAAGAAAGTTTCCATGAGGATGTTGAAATATTCGAGTGCGCTTAGGATAATTTTCATGTACCGAGTGAATATTTTATCCGTTTTTCGATGCATGAATAGTTATTTTTTATGCAAAATAAATATTTTAAGTATTTTAAATGTGCATGAAAAATGTTCTATTTCCATAGAATATTAGCTAGAGGGGTGTCAGATTATTCTATGCCATTTGATGAATTTTTTGATATTCAATGAATATTTTCGGTGAATGAATAATATTTTTTCATGCAAATTAATTATTTTGAATATTTTAAATGTGTTTGAAAATTATCAAATAGGCATAGAAAAATCATTTATGAGGTGTAGGAATATTATATGAACTTAGGTGAATTTTTTTGTGCATGAAGAATGTTTTCTATAGAAATAAGTGTATTTTTACACTTATTTAAATCCTGAAATTAATTATTTTATGTAAAAATACACTCATTTATCCATAGGTTAATTAAAATTCCAATTGAAGTATTTTTTAAAAAATAAATATTAATTAAAATATGAATTAGAATGGTGCCATATTAAAAAGTAAAATTGTGATAAAATAAAAAAGATGATAAAAGATATGGCATGGCGTGTTACATGGGAAATTTTTTTTGGGCGAGGAATGGGATGTACGTGGGTCCGCCTCTGATAGCAGTTGATAGCGATTCTTTTTATTGGGAGCTTCTTTTTTCATCAATTAATTAGCTTCTTAGCAATCAATCAGGGTAAAGAAAATTGTCCACGGAACAATTTTGCTTCTTTTTAGATCGATTCGAATTGTAGATTGTAGTTGCCGATGAATCTTTTTTTTGCTTGTCTTGTTTCGCGAAATTTACTTGCTTTGCCTTTACCTATTGCCTCTTGAGTTAATTAATCACTAGACTAGATCTATTTCATCGTCATTATTAACAAATCTGATTTTGTTTCTGTTTAGTGAATTAATCTGTTTTAATAATGATGATGATCAGATTTGATTTGATTTGTGATAATATTAATACTATCATGGCTGTAATCTTTAAGCATGATGCTGTTGTATAGTATTAGTATACAAGTAATTAAAAAGTTGAGAATTAATTATTATTATTATTATTGATAATATACCCTTCAACCCTGGTCAGTCCTTGTCTCTCCCCCTGTCATGTACAAGTGTCACGTGACTAGCATGTGCCTCCTGCTTCTTATCATGTGTTCCTCCCTCCCTATTGCCTCTAACTCAAGTATTAGCCTTTTTTTTTTTTTTTTCACTTGAGAATGCAACTATTAGCCGTTAATAATGAAGGAATGAATCATAGCATTATTTTTTTCTAGTATCAAGTGATTTTCTCTTCTTTGAGCAAACTCTGTCTGTACTATGCTTTTATCAACAGTTGTACGGTCTGACATTTTCATTCTTTATTTCGGTTTTGATAAAACTGCATCATTTAGCGTTTATGGAGCTTTTAAATCATTCATTACTTTTCTTATCAGTCTAACTAATTGCTGCAATGAGATCCATCATCTCATCTCAATTATTATTTTTTTCTTTCTTTTCTTGTATATATATATATATATATATATATATCTGCTCTAGCTTGTTTTTGCAATGTTTAATATCTTTCCTTTATGTATTATATATACAGAGAAGTTGTTGGAAATTTGAATGGGGAGATTATTCATGGGAAGATCAAACGGGTTCATGGATATTCGGATTGGAGAAAGGAAGAAAAAGAAGAAGTTGGAGGATAGTTGAACATGGTGCTGGAAAATCTTCCTGATGATATCATTCAGGATATTCTGTGGAGACTACCACTTCATAGTTTACGTAGGCTTCCTTGCGTTTGCAAGTCATGGAGGTCTTTGGTGTCTCCTGATATCATTGAAAGAAAGCGTAGGTATTACAGATGGCAGAGAAGTCTTTTCTTTGGTTGCAAAGACCCTGAACCTCAATAGCTAGATTTCTATGGAGCAAGCAGCTTTTGATTCTGCTGTAAGCAATTGCTGTTTTGAGTTTCTTTTTTTCTTTTTTTCTTTTTCTCATGAATGAATGAATCAATTTCAAGGGAAAGTATTAAAGTGAGTTTCTAACAATAAAAGACAATGGTGATCTTAATTGCTGCCATTTGTAAACTATAAAGAAAATATGGTCAGACAGCGCACACAGATTGAAGAACCGAGTCTATGAACTGGTTTAAAAGAGCTTTAGAGGACTTGTGTGTCGATTTTCCTTCCCCTGGTGACTGATGATGGCATTCCTCTTTATCTCCCTGCTGCTGATCTAATCCCCAGATTCGAATTGTATCATCATCACTAGCGGAAGCCAGCATGTATGTATTTGCTGGATTCCAGCTCACGCAGTTAGCAGCTCCAGAATGGCCAGACAGTGCCGTCAATGGTACCCCACAGCTTCTGTGCCATATGTAGACCTGCAATATATCACACAGAAAACTCAGTAGAATATAAAAGCTGCAATGTATCACCTGCAATTTTTTCATGGTTGTCGCTTACAACCTTCATTCAGTACCTGAGAATCCTGACTCCCACTCGCAATAAAAGCTTGTGCACGTCCACCAAAACAAGATCTGATGATAAACCTTGTGCGTGTATGACCTCTGTACTTGGCCACAATCGATCTGATGATAAACCTTGTGCGTGTATGACCTCTGTACTTGGCCACAATCTTGGGATCATAAATTTTCAAGTCCCACATATGGATGTCTTGATTTATTAGGTTAACCCGAAGAAATGTACTGTCTGTCGATATTGAGAATGAAGTAATCGCTTCCCCTTCCTCTATCTCTATCTCAAATTTCTCATAAAGCAATAGAATTATGGTCTGGTCACCTAATCGCTTCCCTTTCCTCTATCTCTTAGAATTACGGTCACCTAATTGTTGTTTATTATTTATTAGTTAATTGTTAATGTAATTGTTAATTGTGTTATTTTTTTTAATTATTTATTATTTAATTGTTAGTTTAATTTTTAATTGTTTTTGTTTTATTATTTATTGATTAATTGTTAGTTAGTTTTAATTAATTTTTTATTATATGTAATTGTTATTTGTTTGTTATTAAATTAAGTGTACTTGTTTGTATTTAAATAATTTTGTAAGAGTTAGTCTAATTAATTGTGTGTTTAATAATTTTTATTTAGTCGGTTATTAAATTAAGTGTAATTGTATATATTTTTAAATAATTTAATTGCTCTTAAAATATTTAATACGTGGCGTTAATTGAATTAAATAAACTATTAATTGTTTATTAAGTGATTTTTAATAAAATTAATTAAATTTAGAAAAATTAAATTATTTAATTATATTAGTGTTAGTTTAATTATATATAGGTGTTAATTCAACTTTAATCAAGTAAATTTATTATTTGTTAATTAAAATATTAAAATATTGTTTAAAATAATATATTAAGTTGTTAATTGAGAAAATTAGTTTATAATTATATTATAATTAGTTTACAACAAGCTCAGCATTGATCCAGAACCGTTTTATTTTATTCTGTAAGTTTTCCGGAGACAGGAAGTTTTCTAAACCAATTGAATCTAAAGTTTCATGTAGTAATTAATACTTTCTACCCCATTCACCTAATCTAAGAGGAGACAACCTCAAAATGTCTTGTAACGCCTAGCTAGGACTGTCATTGGGTTTAATTTCAAGGAAAAGGCAATCATAAAACTAGTCATATCGATCTTCATTTCTCTATGACAATTATGTTTGGCTTGCAGTATATATATATATATATATATATATTAGCTATCTGATGAACTGCCAGATGACGGTAGTTGGAAGAGGGAAACAAACTTGGGCTGCTTCTTTTTGAACCTTCTGTCTTTAGAAATAAAATGATTAATTAAGGGCCAGGCCCAAACCCAATAGCAAGAAAATAAATTGATTTGGAGCTGGCCTGGAACACAAATAGAAAAGAAAGGTTAAGGCCCAAAGAATGTATTTGAAAGACAAAGACAGGCCGACAAAACTGAACATAAACATGGAAACGGAGAGGAAGGAAAACCCGACTTTTTAACGTTGTTTGTTTGGCTTCGGGTGCGTCTTAAATCCAAAACTGTCTGCTCTTTTCTCCTCACGGCTCTACGCTACTTATATATTTCCTGGAAGGAGAAAACTCCGTCTCTGTGCCTGCGTGCGTTTTTAGTTTCAGAGAAAGACAAGGAGAGAAGCTATCTATAGCAGTATATAGCGATTCTTTTTCGTTGGAGCTTCTTTCTACATCAATTAATTAGCTTCTCAGCAACCAATCAGGTAAACAAAATTCTACTCGTAGCAATTTTGCTTCTTTTTAGGTCGATTCGAATTGTAGCTGCCGATGATTCTTTCTTTGCTTTTGTTTCACGAAATTTACTTGCTCTGCCTTTACCTATTTTCTAGTGGGGTAATTAATCACTAGATTAGATCTATTTCATCATCATCATTATTAACAAATCTGATTTTTGTTTCTGTTTAGTGAATCAATTTGTTTTAATAATGATGATGATGATCAGATTTGATATGTGATGATATTAATCCTATTAGGGCATGCTGTTGTATAGTATTAGTATACAAGTAATTAAAAAGTTGAGAATTAATTATTATTATTATCGATTATATACCCTTAAACCCTAGTCAGTCCGGGTCTCCCTCACTTCATGTACAGGTGTCACCTGACTAGCATGAGCCTTTTTTTCTTTTTTTCTTTTTTTGAGAATGCAAGTATTAGCTGTTGCTAATGAAGGGATGAATGCCTTTTTATATTTCATAGTATTCTTTTCCTAATATTAAGTGAATTTATCTGTTTTGAACAAACTGTCTATCTGTACGATGCTTTTATCAACGGTTGTATGGTCTGGCATTTTCATTCTTCATTTTGGTTTCAATATGACAGCATCATTTAGATTTTATGGAGCTTTTAAATCATTCATTGCTTTTCTTATCAGACTAGCTATTTGCTGCAATGGGAAAGAAGCAAAAAGAGGATGCTAGTGGCGCAACCTCAAAGGCTAAGGCTGGCAATAAAGATGCAAAGAAAGAAAAACTATCAGTCACTGCCATGCTGGCTAGCATGGACCAGAAAGCTGACAAACCGAAGAAAGGTTCTTCCTCAACCATAACGTCTAGTAAGCCAAAGCAAAAGTCAGCTCCTTCTTACACCGATGGAATTGATCTTCCTCCATCTGATGATGAAGAAGAGGAGGGGTATGGCTTGGAAGAAGAGCAGCAACAGAATGATCCAAACAAGAGACCCAATCAGCGGAGGTCTGAATTGAAGCCCCTTGATGTAGCCATATCAGATAAAGAATTGAAAAAGCGTGAAAAGAAGGAACTTCTCGCTGCACATGCCATTGAGCATGCAAAGCGGGAGGCCCTTAAAGATGACCATGATGCTTTCACAGTCGTCATTGGGAGCCGGGCTTCTGTCCTTGATGGGGAAGGTGAAGGTGATGCAAATGTCAAAGATATAACAATAGATAATTTTTCTGTCTCAGCTCGGGGAAAAGAACTACTTAAAAATGCATCTGTGAAGATAGCTCGTGGGAGGAGATATGGTTTGGTTGGACCCAACGGAATGGGCAAGTCTACACTATTGAAGCTCCTTGCTTGGAGAAAGATTCCTGTGCCGAAGAATATTGATGTGCTTTTGGTTGAACAGGAGGTCATTGGTGATGATAAAACAGCTTTACAAGCAGTTGTTTCAGCTAATGACGAACTTGTCAAACTCCGAGAAGAAGTTGCCTCACTGCAGAAATCCGCTGAGGGTGAAAACAATGGCGACGATGATGATGAAGATGATGCTGGAGAGAGGCTTGCTGAATTGTATGAGAAATTGCAGTTGATGGGATCAGATGCTGCTGAATCACAGGCATCAAAGATTCTTGCTGGGTTGGGTTTCACCAAGGATATGCAGGGCCGTCCAACTAGGTCATTTAGTGGTGGCTGGAGGATGAGAATTTCACTGGCTAGGGCACTTTTTGTGCAGCCTACTCTTTTATTGCTTGATGAGCCTACCAACCATCTTGACTTGAGGGCTGTTCTCTGGTTGGAGGAGTATCTGTGCCGCTGGAAGAAAACTTTGGTTGTTGTCTCACATGACCGAGATTTTCTTAACACGGTTTGCAATGACATCATTCATCTACATGATCAGAAACTCGACTCCTATCGTGGAAATTTTGACGACTTTGAAGTTGGGTATGAGCAGAGGCGGAAGGAGACAAACAAGAAGTTTGAGATTTATGACAAGCAGATGAAAGCTGCCAAGAGGAGTGGGAATCGGGTTCAGCAGGAGAAGGTCAAGGATCGTGCAAAGTTTGTTGCAGCTAAGGAAGCAGCAAAGAGTAAGGGCAAGGGTAAGGTTGATGAGGATCAAGCCCCACCAGAAGCTCCAAAGAAGTGGAGAGATTACAGTGTTGAGTTTCACTTTCCTGAACCTACTGAGCTTACACCACCACTCTTGCAGCTCATTGAAGTGACCTTTAGTTATCCAAATCGGGAGGATTTCAAGTTGTCGAATGTTGATGTGGGCATTGATATGGGAACCCGCGTTGCTATTGTTGGACCCAATGGAGCTGGCAAATCTACCCTCCTCAACCTTCTTGCAGGTGATTTGGTACCAACCGAGGGTGAAGTGCGGCGGAGTCAGAAGTTGAGGATTGGAAGGTACTCCCAGCACTTTGTGGATCTTCTCACAATGGATGAAACACCTGTACAATACCTTCTTCGTCTCCATCCAGACCAGGAGGGGCTTAGCAAACAGGAGGCTGTCCGGGGGAAGCTTGGCAAATTTGGACTTCCCAGTCATAATCATCTTACCCCTATTGCAAAATTATCAGGCGGGCAGAAAGCTCGAGTTGTCTTCACATCAATATCAATGTCAAAGCCCCATATTTTACTATTGGACGAACCCACAAACCATTTAGATATGCAGAGTATCGATGCCTTGGCTGATGCACTAGATGAATTCAGTGGCGGAGTTGTACTTGTCAGTCATGACTCTAGGTTGATATCGCGTGTCTGTGATGATGAAGAGAAGAGTGAAATTTGGGTGGTGGAAGATGGAACCGTGACTGCTTTCCCAGGAACATTTGAAGAGTACAAAGAGGAGCTACAAAAAGAGATTAAGGCTGAGGTTGATGATTAAGGGAGCTACAAAAAGAGATTAAGGCTGAGGTTGATGATTAAGGTTGCAGTTACAATACTTATTTTTTGCATCAGTTACTTAAATGAGATTTTGCTTGCAGTTGCTGCATTTGTATTCGGTTAATACACTTGACATAAATATTATAAATGCATCTTTTATCATTTTAGTGCGAATGCTTGTGGCAGAGATGTAGGAAATAAAATTGCTGTCCCTACTTACATTTTTTTGGTAATGGGGATGAAATTAATTTGTTTCTCATTTGCCTACATGCATGGTAAGAAGACCATATTGTCAGTGTTTGCTTTTTATTTACAAACTTATTGCCATATGTTTGTATTTTGATTTCAATTTTCTTCTTACCATCGTTTCTCTCTGGCTGTTTCTGGCTTCTTTATGTCTCTCTCTCGCATCCTTCCCTGCTTCATGGTGGTTAGTGACTTGCTTTCCTGAGCACTGGATTTTGAGATATGAATTCCACATATTTCTGCCGACATGTATTCATGCGTCATTTTGTAAGACATTCAAACTCAATCCATATTGGAATTGTGCAACATTCCTAATTACATATCCCGAAGGTCCCAATCAGGGTGAAAAGCTAGCTCTGGAATGATACTGCCTTCAACATTTACTGCCAGAGAATGCAGAAACTTGATCTGCCACCTAAAGTCAGCTTGCCTACCAGAATCGACTTGGCAAAATAGAGGAATTCAGAGCATGCAGGATGTGGTTTATGGGGGGATCACAAGTAAAACATAGACCATCACCTAGCATCTTGAAAATGAAACTTGTGGGTCGCTAGTCCTCTAGGCATGAAATTGAAAATGAACTCTCAGCGTTTCCAAGAACGGTTGTTGTTATGCTCGCAGCCTACCTCAGATGGCCAAGCTTGATGATACTGAATAATTTGCGTGGCAAAGAAGCTTCCACGTAAATTCCAGTTAATCAAGTTTTCTCCCAGATAAAACAAAAATAATAATGATCAACACCCTAGGAAAAACAGTAGATATCCAAAAGCTGGAAGAGGAATTCACAAGAGGGTACACACTAATTTATGTTTGTCAAGTGTCTTGAGCAAGAGAAAAGAGAAAGGACAGTTTCACACCACATCATTACTTATACACCAAGACTTTTAACAAAACTAATTTTTAGAATTTAAACTTGTAACCTCTTGCAAAAAACCACCATCATTGGACTACAAACTCTTTGATGACACCACATCATTAATCGCTTTGTTTTTCCTACACAAGTCATAAACTTCCATGGAAACTATAATTTTAGTAAATTTTGAAAAATATTGCTTCCTCACCTCCAATCAAGTTAGTACGCAGAAATCCCAGGAATCCAACATAGTGAAAGAAGCTTTGAGAATTAAAATAAAGAGTTGCTAAAAATTAATGGAGTAACAAGGCAGACTGATACACAATTTCAATGGCATCAACAAGGAGCAACTTGGAATAAACGGACGCTATCTAACAAATAACCAAGTATAAATTAGAAAACTCTAATACACAGGCAACAAATCCCAAAAGAAACCTTGAGTGGATGGGATGGGAGAGCTCCACCCCAAGCACAAATCAAAGGTCCATCTGCAAGCATGTAAGTAATGACGTATTCTCCAGTCCTCCACATTAAATGTCTTTCACGGTAAGCAGCAACAGTGCTTCGGCAATTTTACAAGTAATGTAGCAAATGATACCCTCCAATCATAAGAAGTATGGAACTCCTGTCCTAGGCCCTCTCATCTGGTTGTTCTCCTCTGTTTCTGTAAAAAATTTCACTTCCCTCTCCTACAAAATGACACAAAAATGATTACATGTGAACGATATAATTTCACAAACAGAAGACAAAGGGTAAAGAAGGGAATTTTAGGAAAGCTCCTGTTGAAAAAGTATGAGTACATATCCAGTAGTTTCAGATTCAATAATATAAGCTGAAAGAAACAAGAGTACTGTGAAAAGTTATTGGGTTTGAAAACATGAAGTTGCAGCAATGCAGCATAATTCTTTAGAACAGTAACTTCATAAATGAGCAATGACCTTCTTGAGCATGTGCATAAAATCACCACACTTAATTAAAAAGAGTACAAAGAACAAACAATTAAATATCATGCATCATAGAATAAAAGGAAATCAATGCACTTACAATCTTGTTTTCTCACTTGTCTATACAATCAAAATGTTCTCCGTGCAATCAATTTGTCCCTAAAGATATTACTAGTTTAGGCCACTAAGTGAAATGCGATAATACTTAGTACATGCATCGTTCTATAGATTCAGCAACAGAACTGTGGTATATTTCAGTGTATAATTGAATTATGAAAGAGACACAAAAGGCAAAGCTGGCAACAGATAACTTCATTCTCATTGATAAAAAAATACAATAAAATTACAACAGTATTTATTATTAGCATGCCTCCCTTGATCCAAGATAAAAACATAAGCAGTATAAAAGTCTCTGATACCATATTCTCATTGAAGCTCAATATAGAAGCTACATTTCCACAGCGGTAACAGTAATTTGGTGCAGACCAGACCTGCAAATTTAACAGACCAAGAAAATTACCAAACTGCTTGGATATATTTGACAAAATATGAATTTAAAAGGTTCAGAGTATTTACAGTGACTAAGCCTTTGTCTTGAAACATGTACTTGAGACCTTCTTGTACAAGTTGGTGCGCTCGACAAACCAAATCAAGATTGTTAATGTGATTGAACTATGAAACAAAAAAAACTAACTGTCAGATCAATATGACATTTGTTGACGGTGAAGAACATGTTCCTATTAGAGGTCAGGTTCATTACCTCAGAAGTGACCCTAGACCCAAAAAGCCAACCTGCTCCTCGGGGACTAACTGCCCATGTCTCAATATCTTCAGGATCACTCCACATGAGATCACAGAATGGCCCTTCGTGAGGAATTTCACAATTTCGTTCAATCACTCTTATCTGCCATGTAACAGGAAAAGCAAAAGATTTTGTATCAGTACTACCCATGAGAAAGAGCAGCAGGAACCTTTATAGTCCAACATACTGCACCCCAATGGAGACTCTCTCTACAATGTGTGAATTGGTGAAATGCAGAATTCTTCAGCTAAACAACTACATAGAAAAAAAAAGCACCTGATCAATGGTTCGAATGTCAGGAGAAAGACCACCGTGGACGCAAAGCACCTAGAGAAAAAAATGACATTAAGTTTAAAAGGTATTGCAGCAGATGCGAACAGAGAGCCATCTTCATAAATAAACAGAGATTTTGGGAGGAAAAGGATTGCAGGATTCAGAGAGAGAAATTGGCTGCAGCTGGGGGGTTGCACTTACAGTGCCATCTATAATCGCTGAGAGTGTCAGATAATCGAAAACATCAGTACAATACCGCCATGCATTGGCATTTCCATACTTCCTCTGGCACTCATCATAGAAACCGTATACCTGGCAGAAAACAAAGCTATACCTTACAACAGTCGTAAAACTTAAGATTGCAGCAGGATTTCATGAGAAGCCTCTACATCAGCAAACTATCAAACAGATCAGGTGAGATCTAATTTATAAATATTTCTTTTACGATCTTAAAAGGATTTTATTATTTTAATGATGACATCCAGAACCAGTATGGAGTTTTCCCAAACTTGATATCACATTTAACCATACTGGAGAATGTGCCTTAAAAACCAAACAAATTTGACACCAGAACCGGGGAAATAACCTACAACATTTCAGACTCATGTTCTCAAAGTTCCTGTATCTATTAACTGTTAAAAACCTCACCAAGAAATGATCCGGCCATTAGACCAGCACATGACAATGAATATACATGAGAACCTCAAACCTAAGTTTGGATGATTTAGTTTGATAAAAAAAATTAGGACCTACATGCAAAATGTGAGCAGCCAAAATATGCATGAATTACAGCCTTCTTCATAACTTAACAAAATAAGTCAACCTAAGTGGATTGCCTTGAAACTAAAGTCATCTTGACAGTCTAACAAATATATTTGGTATATGAGCAACATTCCAATTTTCCAGATTAGCCATTGCTTGAGATAAGTATTATCTAATTGCTTCAATATATCACCAACTCAAGAACCTTATCACAGTTCCGCACCTGATAAGTTTCAAATGCTTCCATTAACTAAAAGGAACTCCAAAGCATTCATGCTCTACAATGTCCAATCAGAGTGGCAATTCCTCTATCCCAATTGACAGTGCACTTTCCCTTCTTGGGCATCCCATTATCATACTTGACTAGTTTAAAGAGTGCACTGACAGAATTAAATGAGCCCTAAATTACCATTTTATTGTTACCATAGACTGGTTTGCATGAAAGTGTAATTCTGGAAGATTGTATTAAAATTGGTTATTCCACTATTAAAATTATACTTATAGGGACAACTCTTAGCCACTGAGCATCCATCAAGCCAGGAGAATGCGCCATTTGTAACTTTATCGTGGAAACCAACAGCTTTGTCATGTTTCTTATGAATAATGACAGCTACTAAAACAGAATTCACATTATTCTTTGACAAAATAAATGGTGTAGGGAGCATATCAATGTCTTGCACATATTAAAATTCATCATGGTGATTATGTGTCAAGTTACACGATCAATAATGATTATGGTCCAACCTAAACCATACCTGAGTTAATTGCCTGCTTTCATGATTTCCACGCAAAAGTGTAATATTAGCTGGGTATCTACAAACACAACCAAAAGATATAGAAAACAGCAAAATTATCTAAGCTCATCAAAAACATAAGTAAGAAAATCTAAGATTCATTCATTATAAAACTTAGTATACAAATGTTATAGCAGCTGAAGATAGCCTGACCAGCTTCTGATCTTCAGAATTTGAGCTGTTAAAGTGACCAGGTGACAACTTATACAAAGACCAAAATAACGAATTCCCATATGGCCTTTGGAGGCCTTGTGCGAATTTGGTCTACTCTAATAGAACCATTTTTTTTCTTGCAAAGCTAGGTAGTTGTTTTAGCAGGAAAAAGCACATGCATAGAATCACATAATGGCATTATAAACATAGCAAGAACACTGACCGCAGGCATGGCAACCACAGAAACAAGAATGTACCTTGCTTTGAGAAGCAAAAGAATAGAGAACACTTCAAGACTATTATAACCCCGGTCAACAAAATCGCCCTGCCAAAAGCATCATGAATATTTAACACAAACAAAACAACAGTAAAAAGAAGCAATAATGTGGGGCAAGAACTGTGAAATAAATAAATAAATGAATAAAAAGGGTAAGATTTATCATATAGTAAGTATACAAGTTATTTACCATAAAAATGTAATTAGTCTCAGGTACATGACCCCCGGTCTGGAAAAGTTTCATAAGATCATGAAACTGACCGTGAATATCACCGCAGACAGTGACAGGGCTGTTAACAGGCTGCACATTGGACTCCTCGATGAGGATCTCTTTTACCTGTGTATAAAAAAAATAGTAATATTAAATTTCCAATCATTGTTATATCCAGTAAAAAGAAAATGATCAAATTTAATTCATTCTGAATTCAACTGAATAGCCGTAAAGAAAGAATAAAACTCTAAGTGAGCGCCTCGATATGAAATTATTGAAATAGCAAACAAAAAAAGCAAAGAGCAGCATCAATTGCAGTTCATCCCTAACGACGAAAATGGAAGTATTGAAAGCACTAAAAGACAAAGCAGGAGCAGTTGGGTAGGAACAAAGTGGTTCAATCAATCAAGAAGGTGCGGCTCATAAACCCTAATTCGATTCCATTAGATACTAAAAGCATCGATGCATATGCATATTAGAAAGAAACCCTAGAAAAAGAAAAGAAAAGAAAGAGAAAGAGATATTATTATAGTAAGTAATAGGAGGAAGACGAAAGAGTATAAAGAATTTACGTATTCGCAGAGAAGCTGAAGCTCGTCTTCCAACAGATGCTGTCCTTCTTTTACCTTCGCTATCCACTGATCCAAATCCATCTCTCCCGATGACGACGTTGATGATTTGTTTCCTTCTCTTCTCTGTCTCTCTCTCCTTCTAATAATTCAATTAATCCCTAATAATAAACCCTAAACCAAAAGAAGAAGAGCGAGCCCAGCAGCAGCAGTAGCAGCAATTTTAGAATACAGAAGAAGAAAAAAAAATTAAAAAAAAAAAATCCTAAAATGGGTGGTCTATGAATACAAATAGAATAGATCTGCTTCGTTTGCTACAAATACTGTTTTGATTTGCGCGATATATTTTATATTTCTTTCTTTTCCCTTTTTTTTTTAAAAAAAAAACTATTTATTTATTTTTATAGAAGCAATGACAAAATAAAGGTAGAGGTAATAGCATAGTTGAGTACTAGATTTTTTAACCGCGCAGATCGGATAAAATATATAAAATCATATAGAAAAATTATTTTAGTTTAATAATCTTTTTTATGATAAAAAATAAGTATAATTTTTAAATAAAAAATTTATATTTAACTATTTCTTATTTATGTTTTTCAATTTTAGAAATAAATAATAAAGCAAATAAATTATTGATTTCTTTAAAATTTTAACACCCAATTAATTATTGGTTCTTTTAAAATTTTAACACCTAATATTATTAAGAAATTAAAATTAAAAAAAAAATTCAATGTTTAGGAGGAAATAAAAAAAAGGAGGCCAGCTGTTTACTGTTCATGTGAATAGTAAACAGACGGAAATTAAAAAAAAAAGTGTTTACAGAGGAAAAAAAAAAAGAGGGCAAGCCGTTTGCCATTCAAATGAACAATAAACAGGTAAAAAAAGGGGAAGGCACTGCGGGTGCTGGCAAAAAAAAATGAAAACTTAAAAAATAAAAAAAGCCAAAGTAATATAGTAATGAACGGTGATTTAACACTGTTCATTGCTACTGATGAAAAATGGTTTTTCTTTAGTATATAGTATTAGATTTTTTATCTACTCTATGTTGTGGGTTTGATAAAATATATAAAATCGTTTAAAAAAAATTATTTCAATTTAATAATCTGTTTTATGATAAAAAATAATTATAATTTTTTAATAAAAAATTTTGTGTTTAACTATTTCTTATTTTTTAAAAATTTTAAAAATAAATAATAAAAGAAATAAATTATTGATTTTTTTAAAATTTTAACATCTAATTAATTGTTGGTTCTTTTAAAATTTTCTATTAAGAAACATAAATAAAAAAAAATTCAATGTTTAAAAAAAAAAAAAGTGCAAGCCGTTTACTGTTCATATGAACAGTAAATGGATGGAAATTTTTTAAAAAATTTAAATGTTAAAAAAACAAAAAAAAGGAGGGCAGGCCGTTCAAATGAACAGTAAACGGATTGTTGGGTTGGGGGGAGGAACGGGTCTAGGCAAAAAAAACTAATGAAAATTAAAAAAAAAAAAAAAAAAACTGTAACAATGAACAGTGATTTATACTGTTTATTGATTCATTGCTGCAATGAAAAATCATTTTGCTTTAGTCCCGTAGGATAATGCCACAAAAGGACATGGACGGTGGAAAGTATTTGTTAATTCATTCGATTTCTTTTCAAGGCCGAAATATTTTTTTTCCTTCAAAAGAAAAAAATAGAAAAGGAAAATGAAAAATCTCTCTAACTCTAAAATCTGAAGGACTTCTGCCGAATAAAGGCTTCGCTCCAGCTAGTTTATTAATGCTCAATAATTCTATGTCCAGTTTGAATCTTGATTTTTCCGACCACTAATCAAAGTTAAAACTCTCTATATGCCGTACAAAGCAAAACTAATTTTGGGCTTTAAGGTCATTATATATATATATATATATATTGTTTTTTAATTAATAGTTAAATAATAATAATAATAATTTAAAAAGAGAGAAAAAAGAAGAAGACAACATAGATATTACAGCTGCGATATCATTATACGAAAAATTATATAGAAAAACTTGATTTGTATCTTCAAAAATATTGATATATTGAAAAAAATAAAAATTGATATATTTGATTAAAAAAAAATTAAAATTAATGTATTTATTATATAGTTCCGTTATGACAACGCTTGAGTTGGTGGGGAGAGTGGACTGGGCCTTAAAAGGTCCAGACATGGGGCATTGTATTGAGTACCCAAATCAACCCGCTGCCTTAAATCGACAAATCCACCAGAGAAGAGAAGAGGAAAGCCGATCATCCGGAAATGTCTTCTTTTTTATTTAGATTGAACTGTATCTCCTCCTCACATCCTTATTGAGATCGAGTTCTAAATAGTTGCTATTGCTATTTGCCTTGCAGTGTCAATTAGTAAGGATAAACACGGGGTTTGGATTGGTTTTTTTGGGAAGATGGGAGAGCAATTGAGGGGTTCAAAAACAGCCATTGATTCCTCCAACATTGGCTTTCAGCTCTTGAAGAAGCACGGGTGGAAAGAAGGAACTGGCCTTGGGATTTCTGAGCAGGGGAGATTGGAACCCGTAGAAACATATTTGAAGAATAACAAGCGGGGCCTTGGAGCTGCTCATCATAATAAACCACTCTTAAAGAAGAATAACACGACTGAGTCTTCTTCTTCCAAGGACACAAACAACCAGGTTAGGGTTTCCTTTCTTTTCTTTTTTTAACCAAATAAAATTTCGTCTCTACCACTACCAGTTTGTGGTCTATCCTCTACTATAACCCTTGCCTAACGATGATACCATTTTTGTGAATTTCAGGATCGCTCCTCTTCGAAGAAGTCCAAGGCACCGTCTAAGAAGCTAAGGAAGATGCAGGAGCTGGAAAAGCGTTTACAAGAGAAGGAGTTTGAGCGGGCTTTTTATCGTGAATTTTGGCCAGATAATGTTTGACAATTGACATTGATCATCCATTCGTTCTCTTGTTCTTCTATTTCTCTGCTTGTCTTGCCCATTTTAGATTTGTACAGCTACTCTGGAATTTTTTTCATTCCATAATTTGCAGTTAGGATAGGTCCTTATTTTTGCAACTCTAATTGTTTCATAATACAAGTTTATGTAAGAAAATATCAGCGTTAAAACCATAGCATTCATGGCCTTTTTAAGAACAAGGACCTTTCTATACAGCATGTAATTAGTCCCCTGATCCTTTAGCAAAAAAATTATATACTTGAGCATTTACAATTTACAGAAGAATCGGTTCCAGAATCATTTATTTCCGTTTCTTGTCATCCTGTTTGATGAGCTGAACAGGAGCTGCTGGTATCCTGATCCACCATTCTCTTAACCGTCTCAACCACCTATCACTGCTTTCTTTCCTGTACGGCATTTCCCTTGTGAAAGCCTCTAGAAATGCCAAAAGAATCAGATGCTCGAAAGGCACAAATGCAAGCACAGCAGCTATGAAAACCAGCAGTAGAGCAACCCTTTCTGTGGCCTGACATACAGGGGAAAAAAAGCCACCAATTAGCAAGTCATCGTGAAACATGACTCGGCTAGTCTCACACTTTCTGCCCATATTTAAGTTTCATGTGAGAAAAGCTTATTTTGCAGCTTCTAGTTTCATAGATATTGACAACAAACTGACCATTTTTTAATTCATCTAGGCTTATGCTGTTAAATAAATGCCATTCGCCTATCAGTATATGATTTTTCTACTCAAATTGTTGTCCATAGATGCATCCAACACAAGCTTAAGAAAACAAATCAGAAAACAAATATAAATGCTCCCTTGTTGAAAGGCTGTGCTACAAAGATAGAATTGAAAGCCATTGGGACATGTACCTGGGGAACTACTGCAAACAAGATAGCTCTTAACTTCAGAAGAACAATGTTTGCCGTCTGCATTAGTCCTTCAACTTCTGCGATGATTTCTTGCAACGTCAAAAGCTGCTCTACAGCATTTTTGTTTGGGGGAGCTGTTACCCGGAAGGCTTCTAAGGGCATCTTTTTGCTAAAATGCCTTCGCACAAACATGAGAACCGCACACCACACAAAAATGGAAGGCAAAATATACCTGGCCCAACCCCTATAGATAATCATGAATCAACATGTTACAGTGGTTTATTCATCCACTTACTATGAGTCGAAAGAAGTGCATGGCGTGGGAAAAATCAGCATTGAAGAGAAACTGATCTTCAAAATTTAAATCAGACAAATTTGCTTAAATTGGTCACAGCGTGCCCCCATTAGTAAATACTGATAGAAGTTAACTTGCAGTTCATTGAAAGATAAGAAAAGAAAAGAGGAGAAAACAATGGAAATATAAGGCAACTCTACTGCATGAAGAAATGCAATTTGGCTGACGCTTAGCTTTAAATTAATAAAATTTCCTACCAATACATATCTAGTTCATTAATGTATTAAAGTACTAAAATCATCGACTATCAGACCATCTAATCGTTATCTCCAACAACAGCATTTATGTCATCCTTCTATAAGAACCGGCAGTTCAATTAGTATTAATTAAGAAAAACTACCTTAAAATAGCACAGCAGCTTAACACCAGAAACACCATCGATTTGAAAGGATCTTCCCAAGAGGCCAAACGATGGAGACGGCTAGCCAATTCTATAACTGGGAATAGCAGTTCCTATAATGTAGTATAAAAGACCAAGGAAATTTAAATGGAATCAGCAAAATACTATGATATAAGCTTTATATATGTGACAATTTTGGAGAAACAATCACCATAATCATAAAAAAAATATTTGATGATGGACAAAATAAAACGTAGGTGACTGTCTATTCAAGGGATGGGGCATATAAATATCCTGCAAATGTTATTTTGCTTCAGGGCTATCACTTGAATGGATCAACAGTATAGAAACTTAAAATAGAGAGAGAGAGAGAGAGAGAGCTGCACAATGCTTGGAATCTCCACAGCTAAGTAGTAATATTTGACAAGGTGATGGTTCAAAAAGTTCTTGTTGCCTGGGAGTCTAGAGTACTGAAGATCTGATTGATCAACCAAGCTTCCTGTCCAAAGAAGTTTGGAGGAAGTAGCACCCAAAAATTTTTGTGAAGCATAAGAAATCATACTTTTATGGTGATAAAAGCAGTGGTGCAATTAGATTTACTACCTTATAAGTTCAGTTATTCCAAATGTTAAAGGAACTATCATAATAACCTTCATTACTGCGACATTTGTATCAATCCCTTCAACCTTCACTTTGTCCACTGTAGCCTGTGCAGCTTCAGCTTTTCCAGTATCTGATATTGACTGTTTCACAGCTATTTCCAAAGGATTTGTCTCACCAACCCAAAGATCCCCAAATGCTAGAACTTCTCCATCTAGATTTACTTCTTTTTGTAAGATAAATCCAAGTTGACGAAGCGTCAGGAATGCAACTGGTGAAAGTCTCAATTGCCGTTTTGCATTTGGAGATCCAATAGGAATCGCATTCAGAAGTGCCAGGCGGCTGGACAGTGTTTCCAAGATCCTATCCCCCCGGGGAAGACTTTCAGCCAGTTTGAAAGCAAGTAAGGTTTTGTAATGGGAAGAAAAGCAGTGCAGAGCTTCTCTAACTGCACGACATCGAAAGATGCCCAGAATAGCCCTTGCAAGTACCTCCAACTGCTGAGTCTCATTGAAGTTATTTTTTTGAATAAATCTGTGTGCATGCAGGACCTCAAGACATACATCCAACCAATAGTCCCGTCGACAACTGCCTCTGAATTCAGGAAACTCAAAATAAATTGCCTCTGCACTGAAGCAAAAGAAAGGAACAGGAATTCAGAGTATTGAACACTTGACTGATGATATCTACTGATGTAAGCTGGTGAATTATTCAAAATATCAAAATTCAATTTGTGAGATATCAGAAAACATACAAAGATGCTGATTTGTACATCACAGCTTTATCAAAGAGACGAGCACCCAATGGTCCGGTTAATTCAGGTTTTATGACCTGCTTCATATCAGTTGCCAGATCATATCTAACAGCTTTATCATATAAACCAACTCCCAATGACTCAAAGTAGATAGCATAATTGGTCAGTGTCAACCGGCCTAAACAAAACAGATAGTAAACAAAGTGAAACACATTAAAAGAGTCCTCCACAAATTTTAACTAAAAAATCGAAACCATGAACTAAACCCAAAAATTTCTACTTCTATTTTGTTGTTGTAATTAATAGGTTATACATACAAGCATCAAGGAGGTACCAAAAGAAAACCCTCAGACCATTCATTTAGTTCCCACAAATTTGAGCTGACTAACTCTGGCACACCATACAAATACCTTTGAAACTCCGGAGAAGACATCTTTAATAGAACAGGTCACAAATGAACAATTTCAACTAGTCTCGTGGTCACATACAAAAGCTCATCAATTTATCACAAAACTACAAAACAGATGAAGTGGTATGATTTTTTCATTTGAGACATGGTATTTCCTATAAATATGTACTTCATATGACCAAGGTCAATGTCACACCAGCATTTGCCAACAGATCCAGTCAGCACTTAAAAACACTTGACCTAAAAAGAGGGCGTGTTCATAGAGTAAATCAAATCTTATCAACAATGATAGGCGAAGAAGGTGCATTCGCATACCAATGTCCACCACATACATGGTAACACAATAAGCCACATAAATTATGCACGGTATTGCACAAAATGCACTTCAAGGCTTATTAACCTAGCAAAATCAACAAATGGTGAGGTTGGTTGCAGTTTGAGGCTTAACAAATCAAAATCAACAAAGATGATGAGGTTAATCTGATCTCATGATATTTTTCTCTGCACTCAGCAACTCACCTGGCCACGCTGAGATGCCAATATGCTGCAGAACAGGTTGAGAGGGAACTGTACCATCAACATCAAGGATGATCTCTCCTTCAGCAAGCTGAAGGTTGGAAATCAAGGGTCCTGGTGCATTCTTTGCAGCCCTAATAATCCTGCAGAAATGGAAGGAACCACAAACAAAGTTGACAAAATAATAGCACAGATACCATAGAGGAGCAGAGAGAGAAGTAAGTTGCAAGATTTTAGAAGGCCAGCACCAGGAGATATTAAAAAATAAGTGGAAAAATAAAACGAACAGAGAGCAATGGATACTTGTCAAGGCTGCGAAGGTATTTATCATAAATGAGAAAATGAAGCCTGCTGTCTGAAGAGGTGGTGAGCGCATCAAAAAGATTGTGGGCAGTTATTACGTCAGCAATGGCAGGACAGGCAGGAGCAATACGCACAAAAGCCTCTCGGCCAACAGTTTTTGTGTCATCAACCTGAACAGCCATACTAGTGGTAGTGAAATAAAAAAGCGACCAACCATCCTCTTCTTCATCCTCACCCTTATCCTCTTGTTGACTGGAAGATACGGTGGTTTCCTGCAGTTGATGAATAGAACATAGCATTTGAATAAGAACAATAAATGTTGTATTGCCAAAAAGTAAGTGGGTAGGGATGCCTCTCATTCTCACATTCTGTGGTGAATCAATAATAGGAACCACAGCTGTGGGTGAGTCCCAAGCAAGCATCATGTCATAGGTGAAGCGACGGAAGTCACTGTCACTCAAGTAATCAGAACGGGTTGTGATAACACGATGGAGAGCTTGATAGCAGCAAAACTCAAGGAAATTCCTTGTACGTTTGACGAGTTGCTGACTATCAACCTCAGGCTCAGGCCGCTCAATGTCAAAACGACGCTGTAGCTCTTGCACTGAGACTGCAAGGATCCTGGAATACCATTAACGATAAGTGGTTCATTTCTCATGAATTTAATTTAATGCCATACTTGTTTGTTTGAAAATAATTGAATTGAATTAAGCAGCAAAAATTAAGAATATAATAATAGTCAGAGATAATCCAATTCACCTAAAATAAAATTATACAAAACAAGGAATGGAAGGACATTAAGATGCAAATAAAGAAATGAGTTACTTACTTGGAAGCGCGGGCGAGGACGGAATTGGTGAGAGGAGAGAGGTGAGGGATGGTGGAATCACCATTGTCGCCGTCACCGGCTTCGACTTGATAATTATTATTTGCACCTGAGGAGGATTTGTTTTGGGGAAAGAGGATTTGATGGCTCTTCCTCAAATGCTCTAGCATTCCCATTTTCATCGTCTCCATTTCTCTTCTCTTCTACTACTTTTTAAAATTGCATTCCTACCATTGTTTTTTGCTATTGTAATCCAATCATCATCATCATCCGCGCCATTTGTTTAGTAATTTAACAGCTACTTCTACTGCTTTGATAGGCACGATTACCAACACGATGCATCAACATCACCAGGCTCCTAGTATCCCACACACCCACCGCCTCTTCCTTCTTTTTCTTGAAAGAAAATCAGTACGAGTAATTAAAATTTGCCGACTAGGAAGAGAATGAGCTGAGCCACAAAAATAATTGGACGTCTGGCACGATTGAGGTAGGCCCAATCAGAAACCAGTACAATGGCCCAATTAGTATAAATATAGTCGTCTGTCCATTTGGTGTCTCTTCGCTTTCTCTTAGTAATTAAAATTTGTCGATTGGGCTAAGCCCAGGAACAGGTACAGGAATATAATGATCTGGGCCATAAATAATTGGACTTTGTGGCACTATTTGAGTTAGGCCCAAATAAAAAAGTTAGAATGGCCCTGCCTGTCCATTTTGGCATTTCTTCACTTTCTTTCTCTCGTAATTAAAATTTTCCTATTGGTCTAGGCCTAGGCCTAGGAGGGTAATGAGCTGGGCTATAAAAAACTGGACGCCGCACAATTTGAGTTGGGCTGAATCCAAAAAAGTTAGAATGGCCCAATCAATTTAAATGCAGTCTGTCTGTCCATTTGACTTCTCCTCGCTTGCTTCCTCTCCTCTCAAGTTTTCCATGATGCTGCTGTCTCCTTCATCCTTGTTTGTGGTAGAATAATATGGGTCTAGCTCAAAGCGAGGGGGCATCAGACAGTGCAGCAGATCAAATTCAACCCGAGCCTTCATCTTCTTCTTCTTCACCTTCTCCAATGGAATCTCTTGTTGCTGGTATGCTACGTACCAATTCCTTTTCTCTCTCTCTCTAAACCCTACGGTGTGAATTGAATTGAATTGTTTGTCTTACATGTGTTTGTGAAATGCTCGCTACTTAGTATTTGATTGAATTCAACCTCTAGCATCTTTTTGCTCCTCTTTTACACTGCAGTAAATATCTAGCAATGTGGAAGATTATCAAATATTAATTCAAGGTCCGTGCTAGATTTGGAGTTGTAGTTGCTACTGCCCTGATTCTGGCTCCCGAATCTGTTAACAGAACCTTTTATTCTCGTTTTGTGCAACCAATTTAAAAACTCAACAATAAACAGTCAAAGTAGGGGCATTGAACCAATTAAGCCAAAAAAGAAGTGATCGGTAGAAATCCTGCAATATTGGTTCCTTTTCTCTGATTTTCCAGCACCCTTTGCACTACTTAGCTGCCCTTAATTTGCCAAGTTAAGATGAGACCATGTATGTGTTTCTGCTGATATTATCCTTTCCGATGGAAAGTTCTTACTCGGCTATTAAGTTTCAGTCTTAGTGTATGGCTCTACAAGGGTCTTCTAATGAACAAAAACTTAAGCTTTTCTATAAATACTATTGATCAATGATGCACTGGTGCTGTTTCTGTCGATTATGCAGAAGATTGTTTGTTACAATTCTAGGTTATCAAGTTTAGTTTCCATGTATCCAAAAAGTAATATTCAGCTCCAATTTCATTTTATCTTATGTGCATTGAACTAAAATGTAGAGGTTAAAAAAGTGAGAAATCCTATTAGTTATGTTAGAACATCAAACCCATTTTTGTGTTCATTCTTATTCTTTTCTTAGTAAAATTTGTTCTTTCATCTGAGAAAAGAAATATTTGAAATTGATGCATACAATTTGGTGGTGCTTGCTTTTACAGAAGCTGTTGCATATGGAAATGATGAGAGTGAGGTTAGTCTGCTTCAGATGTACTTGGAATTTGATTCGTCATTTAATTATAGCTAATCAAGTTCAACTTGGATTTTCCAGTCTCTTGAAGCTAAGGCACAGAAAGCATTAGAATGTCCCTGTATAGCTGATTTACGCAATGGCCCTTGTGGGAGTCAGTTTTCAGATGCATTCCTGTGTTTTCTCAAAAGTACTTCAGAGGAGAAGGTAATTGTAATGAACTGCCACTGATTTCAACCTTTTTAAACAGGGTATATCTATTGAATGTGAACTTTTTTATCCATTCAGGTATAGCGTTTTATTTATTTCCTTTTCCTTTTTGTTCATGGTATTTAACTCAATATGCCATTATAGGGAAGTGCATGTTAATATTCTATCCCTGGACCATTGCCAGTTGCATGGAAATGGCATTCCATGAAGCGTCAAAGAACCTTTTGAAGGTGACACTAATATGAAAAAGTTTTTTCCTTTTGCACAGGGCTCGGATTGTGTGCATCCATTTGTGGCTTTGCAGAATTGCATGAAAGCTAACCCCAACGCATTTTCTAAGGACATTTTAGAAGAAGCTGAAGAGAAGAAAGAGGAGGAACCAGCACAGGAATACAAAATTATTCCTCCCATATGGTCAAGAGAATCTCCGAGTCCAAAGTCCAAGCTTTAGGAAACTGGAAATTTTCACATTTTGACACCTGAGTTTTTACTCGCAGGAGTTACTATTTTATGGAAAAATATATTTTTGGCTGGTCATCATGAAATCCATTGATACTCTATCTTGTAGGAGTTTACTTCTCTTACTGTTCCTTGAATGAATGCCTTATTGTCATGTACTCCATTAACCTGTTTTTTCTATGGTTTATAAAATGGCATTTGCTGAAATATCATTTTAATTTGTTGAGCAAACGAACACACACTCTTTATTATGAAGAATTGAAATAACATTCGGCAGAGAAATTGCAGGAGAATTAGGGAGGCACTCTCTCCTTTCATGCTTAAAATATGCATTATCGTTTGTTTGTTGTTAGATTACGAATATTTAATTTGACACTGTAAGAACTTTGCGTGGAAACACACAAAAACAACAACCGATATCTCATATCGGAAGCTAACTGCTTTTTTCCAATATGCATGCTTCGGGTTACTAGATTCCTCACCTCTCGAGCATCCACCTTTTTACATTTTGGTGTTTTTCCGTTCTAATGGTGATGTAGGTTTCAATCCTATAATGGCTTCTCTTATCATCTGTCTTGATATTTTGGTTCTGGATGGACATTATTGGTCCAGGTTTCAAAGAAAGTTAATATGGATATTTTAGTTAGTTTTGCTCTTGCGTGGTATATATTTAAAGCTTAAAAACTGTGGAGAGATGAAGTCTGGGAACGGCAGCCTGCTATGGGAGAGATGACCGGAGGATTTCTCGGTGAAAAAGCAGCTGTAGCTGAAGCATCATCCATGGACAATAAGGAAGTGATCTCAATATTGTTTCGGTTGATCCCACACCCACAGTATTAGCATCCACAACATATGGATGATGGGAGTAAATGTAAATCCCAAGCCCGCCTATACCACAGGCACTTTCACATGGGTCAATATATTTGTTTAGCTTTGTTTCTGACATGCCACCAATCCATCTTTTGAGTTCGATTCAATCCTCAAGTATTTATTCGTTCTTCCATCAAATATTTTGTGCTGAAATTGTAATTTCTTTCTGCAAATGAGAATGCTCTTTGAGAAGCCAAGCATTGTGCTTTTGTATACCTTCTTTGTCAAAAGTGGAAGCTGCCATCATCAGCATCAGCGAAAAGATAAGTAACCATTTCTTCTCCATTACCAAAATGCGCTCGACAGAGTTAAAGGAACCTGTGCGAGGGTGCAATTGTCCCGGTTTGTGGGTTCTTGAGCTGGATTAGATACTTGTATATTCCCATATTTACAGCTTTGTCCAAGTTTTACTAGAACAGTTGGACTAAAGAAAGTAAAAAAGAACTAGTCAGTAGGAAACTGGAAAGCCTGTGACATCGGTTCTTTGTCCCAGATTTTCTGTTCTCCACCCTTTTGCACTGCTGAAGTGCCCTGGATTGGCAATCAAGTTATGTTAATATATGAAGACGAAATTTCTTTATTGCTTTCCTCAGCATTAGTAGCTGTGTGCACATATATACATGTAATGAAGATACAGATCAAGATTTGCGGATTAATATTCATCTACAGGGTCCATGAGTTAATGCCATCCATCATCCAGCTCTATTGAGGAGAAAACCTCTCCTGAAATCCGCTTACCTACACCACAAAATCAAAAAAGGCAAAGATAAGATATGGAATAACAGAATAATAATATGATTTCGACATGAACATTTAACCAAATACAAGACGGTAAACATATGCACCGAATGACAAATTTTCATCTAGGTGGTTCAATTTCCATCAAAGTTCCAAGTCTAATCTTTCAGCAGTGTTTAGCCAAAAAGACAGAAATTAAAGCTTATCATATACCTTATGTAGAGATAATTTCTTGCTCAATTCTTGTACTTCATGGTTTCCTTTTCAAATCCAATTGTTGGGAATTGCTTAGCGTACTCTTCCACATCATGACGGAGCTTTGAAATCTCTGATTGAAAGTGAGGAGCAGACAGCGTAGCCAAGAAATCCTTCAACTTTGTCCCTGGTTTACAAAAGTTTAGAGGCAAGGGATGCCAATTATTGGACTCAAGAATTGCTTGGCCAAGAATGGCCACGAGCAGTAACCAAATCAAAAGCAGCTCTGGGGGAGGCAGCGAAGATACTGGAGAGGTACAAACCTGTGGTTTCAGCCTTGATCTTCACCGCCAACTTGACAGAAGCGTCAAAGAAATCTGCCACCTTAGCAAAATCCTCTTCAACGAATCCCCTAGAAGTAAGAGCCGGAGTTCCTGATGTGCAATTACATTTATCAAGAAAAGTCGCTGTAAATAAAAAAAATAAAAGCACGTTGTCGTGTCAAGTAGAGGCCCGTACCCATCCTGATGCCACCAGGAACCATGGCAGACACATCTCCAGGAACTGTGTTTTTGTTTGCAGCAATGTGAACAGATTCGAGCACCTTTTCAACTCTGGAGCCATCTATACCCTGCGCAAAAACAAGAATTTGGAAGAGAAAGAAACGAAAAGAAAAGGCAGCACTGTTTTTTATGTTCAAAACTAATAAATGCATGACTAATGGCCTATTGGCGCAGGTAGTTTCGTCTTAATACACTATTTACCACTTGGGCTAATGCACAAGGGCACTTCTTTCAAGTGATCAAACGAAGATAAATCAAACATCCTCATACCTTATTCTTCAAATTCACCAAAACTAAATGGTTCTCAGTTCCACCAGAAACAAGGTCGTAGCCTTTCTCAGCTAAACTCTGCAAAATCAGAAACATCCCAAGCAATTTAAATACTGAAGTAAACCGATTAGACCTACAGTCTGATAAGAAGAAAGTTAATCATTCAAAATTGTCATTTGTGTGAGAGAGAGAAATTTGCCATATGCTGTCTTTTTGTTATGTCTCACAGTCCGATACCTGGGCAAATTTTGCGCAATTACTAAGCACTTGCTCTTGATACGCTTTGTACTCTGAAGTTGTAGCCTGCGTATATAGAGCAAGGATGCATAAGAATAGCTTTTAAATAGAAATGAAAAGCACTAATAAATTACCTGCTGTGACAATCTTGATATTTTTGCATCAAGGGAGTAGAAAAGGGCCACACTAAGCACAGACCTTGGCTTTCTTTTTATTTTTTCTCATTTCTTTTTGTTTTTTGTTTTGGTAAAACAAGGGTCTAGAAGCCCAGAAAACAACCTTAACCCAACACGAACGTGGGGCGACAAAACTCTACAATCTTTATCAAGCAAAAAAACCTAACTCAACTGGAGGAAAATCTAAGAGATTTGGTCTCGCACCACCGCCGATATTGGCTAATTAAAGCATCTGCACAATGGTTCCCTTTGCGGAAAATATGCTCCTGGTGGAATAGACCTTAGTTTTAACATTATAAAAATTAGGCAAAGGCCATCGGTCATCTCTTACATCTGCCTCGTTGAATTTTACCAGTATCAAACACTTTGAAAATCTGCTAGTGTTTTATGAGCACCTCAGAAGCCAACAGCTACAAGCATAGTTTATCACTTCAATGTGTCCCCTCCCTTATACTTGCCAACCTATTAAAGAATGCTTGATATCCAATAAACTTCAAGAAAATTGGCTTACACAGGGATATATAGGAGTGCTGAATTGAGCCTATCGGGAACCGCAAACAGTTTCTAACATGTACAGCATCCTAGGAGGGTTTTGGGGTGATTAAGGGATTTGATTTAACTCAACATGCAGGTCACCAAATTGGAACCTCAACCCAACGGATGACTATTATTTCACCAGGAAGGATTTTAGAACCGATGGGAACTAAATTATAAGTACACTGACCTGCTTCAAAGCAACTGCTAAACCAGTAATTGTGTGATTGTGTGGACCACCTTGAAGCCCAGGAAAGACAGCTTGATTGATTTTGTCCTCGTAGTCATAAAACACCTTTATGAAGAACCCAAAAGACAGCTTAGTTCCACTTCAAAGACACAAATATCTAATCATGCAATGTGATTTTTCAGTTAGTGTATCACCTCTTTCCCTTGTTTGTTAACCTCTTTTAATCCCTTCCTGAAGAAAATCATGGCCCCTCGTGGCCCGCGAAGTGACTTGTGAGTTGTGGTGGTCACTACATCTGCATACTCAAAAGGTGATGGGATGACACCAGCTGCAACCAATCCGCTAATGTGTGCCATATCTGCCAACAGTATAGCTTTTTGTTTGTTGCAAACCTGTTAAGATCAACATAGCCTTAGATCCTATAAAACACCAAATGAGCTTACACCTGAAGAAACTCTGATCCATTTATTTGTTAACTGTATTGGTATTAATCTAAAGGATGTTACCTTGCGAATGCGTGCATAATCGTATAGACGTGCATAAGCACTAGCACCAGCTACTATTAATTTGGGTCTGAAAAGAGTGGCACTTTTCTCCAGCTGCAATATAATAATTTTCACATCAGACATTCATTCCGTGTCACCTAGATAGAGAGATGCATAGATATAATATATGTAGGAAAAAAAAACAGAATTCTTGGTGATGCATGAAGTAGTTCTGCATTGCTTGCCTTGTATACACATGAAATTTTCATATTTATTTAAAATATCGCAAGATTGTGCATGCATGTGGAGGAGGCTTAAGTGTCTCAAGTGTTAAAAAGGGGCTTCAGAAACAGAGAAAAGTCGAAATCGAACACCATCTAGAAGCAGGGAACAAAGATCAATAAGATCTACCCTGATTATTTCAATTTCAGGATAGATTTTTGTGAAGCTGAAAGTCCATTTCCACATAACTACTGAAAAAATAAACACGATCATGGATTCATCATGTCTAGTAGTAGATGGTACCTATCATTCTGACTTCTAACTTATATCAACAAGCATATATATGTCATAACATCATTGAGTAAAGCAGAGGAAAGAATGGTGCTTCGAAGCCCTAAAAATAACCTTTATTGCGAAAGTGTAATAAGATATATATCCACTTTAGTTATAGTTTGGACAACAATGTACTTCTTACTTTGAACAATAACTTCTAATCTTTCATGATTTAACAAAAATTCAGCAGGACAAAGAAAGGAATAAGCTACCTGATCATAGTCAATATACCCAGTGCTCTCATTCAATCTGTATGGCATTGTCTCAAAAAATATCGACACTGCAGATATCTTTTTGGTGTCTGTCTGCAGAATACGAAAAGGAACAATGATATTGCGTGCTTTCAATTAAGCAGAAACACGATACTGATAAATTCAGTACAGTGGAACCAATCGCTGCATATTTGTGAACTGTCATGTCAAGTATGCATTGATACATAAAGATGATGTGATCAGCTAAAAGAAGAGCTCAATTTTTAAACCCAACAAAGTATGCAACAATAACGATGGAATATTTGAACTCCCATTTAATTATTCTTGGAAATGGAAGAGCAAATTTCAACATTCTTTCTTACTCTTTCCTTTACTTTTCTTCATCGTCACATCAAAACTGGAAGAAAGAGGCGAGTAAAATGTAAAATTAAATATCCCCTTTAATTGCATTGCGCTAGCAGAATGCATTTCTGCAGCTAACTCGGGGCTGGTTTCCATCTATGGAAAGCACGGCCAAGTACGTAAGGGGGTCTAAATTATAAAATATTCAATCATCTGAGAACAGATGCTTAAATACGAATTTTACAATATATTAACAGGGGAGCATGCATTTGGATACGGAAGGTGAATAAAGAAGAAAAGAAGAACTTTGAAGCACCTGATAACCATGAGAAAGATGGCCTCCATGAGGAAGATCAAGTGCCATGATTCTTTCATGAGGTTTTAACAATGCAGTGTAGACTTGAAAATTAGCTGGAGATCCAGATAGAGATTGCACGTTCACTGCAGCCAGCATAAAAGGGAATTGATTTTCAAAAGCTCGACCATGAGACAAAAATGGAAAAGCATACAAAACGAATAAATATATTATTAGCTGAAGTTTCTCTTTCTCTTTATTTAACACATAAAGCAGATGAAAATACCTCCCCATTTAGCAGGATCCAGGCGAAATGCTTCCAGAGCACGCTTCTGACATAAGGATTCGGCCATGTCAATGTACCTGGAAAATTAAGAAAGTAGAGAGAAAATCAAAAAACAATGAGATGATGATGAGTTGGGCAGCGGAGAGCCGGCAATTAATCCTCCTGCAGGATACAGCAGAAATAGGAGAATCAGAATTTGACGTACTCGTTTCCACCGTAGTATCTTGCACCAGGATATCCTTCACTGTACTTGTTGGTCATGACAGAACCCACAGCTTGCATCACTGATGTAGAAGTGAAGTTCTCTGAGGGTATAAGCTCAAGCCCCTTTGTCACACGATTTTAGATACATGATCACAATCAAAATAAACATAATATGTTATTGAGTTTACTTAGTTCTATATGGGAAGGTAGGTAGGTGGGTAGGTCATTACCTTCCATTGCCTTGCTTTCTCGAGCTCAATAATATCAGCAATCTCTGGATCAACAACCTCTAAGGGTGCATTCAGCTGCTTTGGCCACTGTTATTTACGTATATGAACTATTAAATATCAACAGCTTAATTAACTCGTAATATTTAAAGGATATTAAATATGTATATAATCTTACAGTGACAGCAGATTTCTCCTTCTCGTATACAGCTTCATTTGGCAAAGAAGACTGCAAAACACGAAACCAAACGTTTCAATTTTCTTTAGAGCTGAACCTGTTTGGTTCTTAATTAATTGCCTGGAAGAAGAAGAGAAAACTACAGGTATATTTAGTCAGAAAAGAGAGGAAATAAAGAAGATTGAGAACCATGTAATAGAGGGAGGTGGCTTTGAAGAGAGCAGGGCGAATTGGCTTGTCAAAGGAAGAAGAAAGCCTGCGCAGGGCCATGGCCATTGCCATTGCCATTTCTGATTTTCAATTAATGTTAATAAGCTTTGTATTTTCTTTTCTTTCTGAGTTTGTTTTGAATTTCCTCTCCTCTCCCTTTCCCTTTCCTCTGGGTGGTGGTGGTTCGTTATTCTTCGGTTACCACTCGCTTATCACTTCATCTTCACCTGTTCACGTATTGTGTGTCTCAAATCACAATGCCTATCCATGCCATTCGCTCCCTTCTCGTGGACCCCACCTTCCATTCCTACCCTCTTTTATTTACTTTATTTATCTTAAATTCATTTTATTTAACTATGATTTCAAGCACTACTTGAAATTAATTAAATAAATAATTAAGAAAGGTACTTAAAATAGGCAAATTTCCTATCTATATATATTCATGTCATGCGCTGTGGAGTTAATTAAGAAACACTAAATAAATAAATGATGAGATTTCCTGTGGCTCCTGTTGTCTCTCCTTTCCCTTCCACTCAAAAAATTGTTGCTATTATCCAAAAGGAAAATGCATGCCCTCTCCAAATTACTTGCTAGCAGTCATAAATCATAATTTTTCGCTCAGCTTTATTTGAAGAAAAAAATACAAAGCAGCCAATATAAATTCTATTGGACTAAAGCCAAAAATAAAAAAGGTAAAAAAAATATAAAAAATTCACGTTATAACAGGCCCAAAAGAAGAGAGCAGTGCAGCCCATTCCGACAGGAGTGAGTGAGGGCCACAGTCCCATGGTAAATTAAAAAGCTGAAATATAAATTTTGAATAGTGCTAAATCCATCGTATATTTTATTATTTTTATCAAGATTTTTATTATAAATTATCAATATATCATTATCCCATCAAGTTAGTTTTCAAATGGTAGCTAGATATAAATATTTATTAGTAATTTAAAATAAAAAATTAATGAGAATAATAAGAAGCACGGTGGATTTAGGAGAATCATAAATTTTATTTGAATAGAGCAAGAAAGCAAAAAAATTCCCGTATAACAGGCCCAAAAAAAGAGAGCAGTGCAGCCCATTCAAACAGAAGCGAGTAAGAGCCATTGACCCATGGTAAAAAAAAAAAAAAAAAAAACTGAAATATAAATTTTATTTGACTAGAGCAAGAAAGGGAAAGAAATCCACTTTATAACAGGCCCAAAGGAACAGAGCGGTGCAGCCTATTCCGACAAGAGTGAGCCAAAATTCACTCTATAACCGGCCCAAAGGAAGAGAGCAGTGTAGCCCAGTTCGACAGTGGTGAGTGAGAGCCATTGCCCCATGGTAAAATAAGAAACTGAAATATATAATTTATATCTTGAATAGAACAGGCCCAAAAGGAAGAGAGTAGTACAGCCCATTCAGGCAATAGTGAGTGGTACTGTTGGCCCATGTTTAAAAAAACTGAAATATAAATTTTATTGGGCTAGAGCAAGAATGCAAAAAAAAATTCAGGCCCAAAGAAGAGAGCAGTGCAGCCCATTCTGACGGGAGTGATTGAGACCATTCGCCCGTGGACTGTGCCTCTGTCTATGTCTTCCTCTGCTGTCCGCTGTGATTATTAAAAGCCAAGAACCAAAAGAAAACCCCCACTGGCCAGAATCATCAACTTCCCCAAGTCAGTCTTTGATCTTTCTTTCGCGTATGGCTTTCCTTGCCACTGCCACTGCTGCTGCTTCCTCTTCTTGTTCTCAACGCCTCGGATTTCCCAAACTACCCTTGCTTTCTACTACTAGGCGCACGCCTTCTTTTCCTCTCCTTTCCTTTCCAAACTCTATATCTCTGCACGCAGAAAGGGCCGGAGCAAGAGCAGTTGGAGTTGTAGCGGCCGCTGCTGCTGCTGGAAAGAGCAGTTCCAATGCAATCCCAAAAGATAGCAGAAATGACAAGAATATTAAAAATAAAGAGGAGGAAGAAGAGACGATAGAGGTGGAGGAGGAATTGCCTTGGATTCAAGAGAAAGCATTGGACTTGGTAGAATTCACTGGGTCTGTAACACAAGCAATTCCAGGTCCTAGAGTGGGCCAGAGCTCCTTGCCTTGGATTCTCGCTCTTCCTCTCGCTTATGCTGGCATTACTTTCGTTATTGCCGTTGTTAAGACCGTCAAGAAGTTTGGGTCTCCCAGATACAAGCGCAAGAAACTGGTTGCTTCCTCTTTTCTTTTGTTTTCTTTTCCTAATAATAATTCGTTATTGTACTAATTATAAGGTGTTTGTGATTATTCCAATTTTGTCCATATTTATTTCATTTCAGGTTAACAAAAATGCTATGCTTTGCAAATCCATTGATGAATTGTTTCAGAAAGGAGGAGGAGGAGATGCATCCCAACAACATTCAGCTCTCGCAGGAATGGAGAATAGGGTGTGACTCACATACCCCACAGCTTAAAAGTTTTATTTATGAATCATACTGTAACTGCCCAAATGTTTTACCTTTGTAATGGCTCAGATTTTATTGCATTTGCATTTGCATTTGAATGTGACACGTTTTCGTTGCTTCTTGCTGTTTAAAGCAATGGAAATGTCTCATCTTGAATTAACTTGGTCCAATCTTAAGTTTCCTTTTTCTCTTTAAGAGATTTGTTCTAGCTGGAGGTCTGTCTGAATGATGGTTCATTCTTGATCTTCTACCATTATCATTTGTAGTATCTTCTCCTCTATCATTTTGGTTTTGATGGCAATTGCTAATTCATATCCAGACAGGTTTTAGCATGGTGGATATCGTGCGCAAGTACATTCGCTATGCTTTGAATGAGAAACCATTTAATCCGGAACTAGTTGCCAACTTAATCCGGCTCAGGAAAGCTTCGATGTTGGATGACTCCCAGGTTGCTGAAATTTTGAATGATATCTCAAGAAGGATTGTTCGGGAGAAAGGTAGTGCTTTATGGCATCTCTCGTGCATCCTGGAAATTCTTTAGGTCGCACATCGAATTATAACCCCTGTTATCCTCTTGCTTTCATTTTTATGAATCCTCGAGTTCACCCAGTAGCTGCTAGCTTGAGGCTTGATTGGACATAAGGAAGTAAAACATGTTTAGCATGACAAAAGAAGTGTGCTAAAATGTTAATTAGAGCTGTTCCTTCGTGTTTTGACATCTTTACTCTTCACAACTGGTTCTGGGTTCTTTTTAGTTTTTATTTGGGGGTGAGGGGGTTGTTGGAGAAGGGGGATGAGGATGGGGTTGGGCAGTGGCTGAGGAAGGCTTTTAATGTCCATGTTTCGTCCTAAGATATTGGTAGTTTTTACCTATTATCCTAAAAAGGGACAAAGAAAATGACAGTTAGGGGTTTCAGTGCTCTGATTTTGTTTTCTGTCCTTTCAGGCCCAGTTGTCATGGATGTGTCAGGGTATTCTGAAAAGGGATTTAAAAGAAAACTTGCAGTGCAGGCTCTTTTTGGCAAGGTGTTCTATTTGTCTGAGGTGAGTGGTTGAACAGTTAGCTGTTAATACCTTTCGCTAGCTTACATTTTTCTTTCAGATTTCATTATGTTGTTTTTCTTAATCATACAAGGAAACGGCTTTTTCCGGTTTTTTCCCTCTCCATCTTTACTGCTTTGCGAATTATTGCATCTAATCTGCCAAATTTTATTAGTGAGTCATTAGATCATGGACATAACATAATTGGTATTACCTCGGCCAACTCAACACCTTCATTTGCTCGCAGCTTTTGGAATGTGGCACTGATTAATTCATTTCAACTCCCCAATAAGAGAGATAGATCTGTTGAAATGAACTCTATTTGTTGCCCCAAGAGCTTTATTGCACTCGAAACTAAGAGATGGGCTTGTTTTTAATTTGGCTGCTAACTAAATTTCTATGCGTTCCTTACCTCTTGTGACAGAATTGATTGTGTTTTTGTTTTGCTTTTGAACCAGCTGCCAGAGTTCTGTTCAAGGGATAGCTCCTTAGTCGTGAAGGAAATATTTGGGGTTGCAGAGTATGCATTTTATTCGTGAATTTCTACTGTAGATTTGATTCTTTTAAAGCAAGTTGAAAATGATGAAATGAGTTATATTAAGCATTTTCATTGTCCATGGTCTGTTCATTGTCAAAGCAAATGAACACTTACCAGCTTTTTTTGGCTCTTGACAGTGAAGATGCCAACAAACTTCGTTTACACACACTTTCTGAAGCTGGTGATATGGATTCACTTGAGAAGATGGTTGATGGGTCAGATTCAGAAGATTCCAACGAGAAATCATCTGATGCTCCTTGATTTGCATTACCAAACACACAGAGTTTAGTTGCAGAGAAGAGTAAAATTCTGGAAAGTATAAGAGGGGATTTACATTAGTTAAAGTTGCTGTAACAAAGTTGGTCCATGTATTAGTGGTTTTACTTGATGATCATGTAAACCAAATTTTGATTACGCAAAAAATGTCTTCTTCTTTTTTTCTTTTTTTGAAATGTGTCCTTGAAGTTGTTGTTAGACAATTTTATGCAGTTGAAATTTGGATGGAGTAATGACGAAATCTGAATCATTATGATTGTGAACCTCAGTAATGGTTTGTTTTTGCAGCAGGAGAACTCAAAGCCATTCTGTCATCTATGAGAAAAGCTATTTCTTCTTTTCATGGCTTCGGTAGAAGACAATTGGCTGGTTTATTATAGTTGGTTTCCTTTGTTTCTTTTTTCCCAGTTAAAAAGCCATTTGCAGAGTTAAGTAGTGGGCTTGTGTGTGTTAGTGAGTTATAGGCTTATAGCCCACTTCCAATTGATCGATAGAATAGAAGACAACCTGTTAGATTTTTGAATGAGCAACGCAGACAGGTTGGAGGGAAGGGCCACGTGCTGTCTCTTCCAACGAACCAAAAGCCTAAGTTTCCTAACGAAGATAACATTAATACTACTCTGAAATAAAGAATAAGCAGAAACAGCAGCACTCTTCCCTCTACGAAGCTTCTGGTATTAGCTGCTTTTCTGTTTCCTTCTCCTTTTGCCTCTTCTTCTTTCTACTCCTTGTTTGTGCGCATTGTGTTGTTCCTTCCCAATTCCATTAGACTTGGAAAAACCCACTCTGTCTTTCTGGGTAACT